TAGTTATCTAATGGTCTAAAAAAACATTACTATTTACAAGCTGTGGGATTTCAACATTAGTATTTACAAGGCTTACATCTAAATCAATACTACTATCACTAGACTCTGTGTTACCAATGATCTGGACTACACTCTCACTATTGCTCTGCTTTTTTTCACACACTTTCACTATTTCACTATAGGCAAGATGACCAGGAACTACAGTGGACTGCAAACATGATTGGTCATCAGATGTGAGGTCAACTACAACTGTTACAGTTGGCTGGTGGTGGGTAGTGCCAGGTGCAGGTTGTGGGTTGGTTGGAGCAGGTCCTGGTTGAGCATTAGGTGTTGTAGGAGACTCCTCAGCAGCTGAAGTCAGGGGCAAGTGTGAAGATGACATTATTAGGTCTCGGAGACACTGTACAAAAACTGGGTGTGTCAGTCCATTACGTAAATTTCCTGTTGAGGTTTCATCAAATGTGACAATTAAGATGGATGCACCAGTTCTGCTGCAGAATTTTTTAAGATTAGCAATAAAGTGATGAGGAGGTATGCGATCCCGCACACATCCCATAGGAGAACAAATTAATTTCTTGAAGTTTTTGTTTTTGAAATCTTGTTCTAACTGTTTGAAGGCTTGGTTGTAGTTATTAAGATAGTTGCTGTAGTTCCCTGAGTTAAGAAAATATTTAGGTTTCGTTACCAATCCATAAATTGCTGCTCCATTTTTAGTTTTCTGAAATGTTAGATCTTTAGCACAGAAATCTTTTTCACATGGTTTTCCAAATTTAGCTTTGAAGACTTTGGCTACTCCTTGACTCATTTGCTTTCCATCACTGAAATCAGCAGATATGCAGTGTGCAAAGGCCACCTGTGGGTCATGACAAAATTTATTAATTACATCGCTCATATGTGCATCGGTTAGTTGAATATCCTTTTTAGTAGTAATTAGTTTGTTTCGGGCCCAGGTTGTTACTTCATCAATGATGATTCCAGCCAATTTTTCCTTTCCTCGACTGCTAAAGTGAAGACCATGTCTTGTAAAGTCGCAACGCTCAAGCTGGGTTAGATTAATCAAATAAACATTATCCATCCTCCGTGTTAGTTCCTCGATGTAATGATTCACAGTGTATAGATCAACATTTATAGGATGCATTAGGGGCTTGTCATATCTAATAGGTATGGTTGTGATGAAGATGGTTCTTTCTTCACTTTTGAGTTTAAGTTTATGTTCTAGGTCTTTATAGATATCGCCAAACTCGCAATTTAGGCTGTCATTTGTTCCACCAATGATAACCGCAGGGGTGGAGGCTTCAATGGCTGTAGAGTCAATGACTTGGGCTAACGTGGTGTTGGCTCTTACGTAACCAAAAGCCTTGATTCTCCCATGGCTTAGATCTTCAATTTTATTAGCTACTCCTCTGCCCTGGCTATCCGAGCAGAGGGTTAGCTTTAAGTTTGGGTATAGCTGTTTGGACTTTCTTGTGATTGTTTTTTTATAGTGTGGATTTCTGCGTTGTTTGTTTTGTTTTTGATTTATTTTACTGGTATTGGTCTGGTTTTTTTCTTGAATGTTATCAGGAACTTCACAACTGTCATCTAATTCATCAAGAATGTTAAACCTATTTTCCACTGCAGTTGTAGGCTCTGTAATGTGTTGGTTAGGACCCTTGTAAGAATTACTTTTTTGTTTAATTTTAACCCAGTGGTGTGATTCAGCTGTGCTGCTCTTCTCTTTAGGGATTACCGTGGGCTGAATGATGGACTTCCTATTTTCAGCCCTAGTGACTGAGGATGTGTATTCTTTATCCCTCTTCTTAATCATTGTAGAATACAAAATAGCGTCGCTGAACTGTGAAGGTAACAGGAAATATGCCATCAGTGACCGTCTCTCAATTAGTTCTATATCGCTTAAACTAGCTTCTTGAATAAACTTAATATTTAGCTCATTACTAGTGACCAAATCCTCAACAAGGGATTCAATTACCCAGCATGTGATGATACTCTGTTGAGGCCTTAGGCTTCAACTTTCGAAGAATCAGAATATAGAGGGTCCTCTCTGGTGAGAGCCACCAGGGGCCTCATAGATTGTAAATAAGGCCCTGTCAGAAACCATGTTATTAAAGACATATTGACAATGGGACGTTGAAGGTACATACTACAAGTTTTTGTCTTGAAAAGCAGCAAAGGTATAATTAACTTTCAACACAGCTCAGTAACGTTCAACGTCCTATTTCTCTGTATAAAAAAGAGTTGCTTCCCAAAAAACAAAGCATTTTCACACAGTTTAAAAATCCGGGAAACCATTGACAAAATGGGTTAAGAAGAACTGTCTCATCCAGGGTCGGTTTAAGGGGTGAGCCGGTTTAAGTACGATGTCGCGTAGGGCACCAAGCGAAAAGGGGCACCTATCCCCAATGTTCAGAATTAAGGAAGGAGACTAGAGGCATAGATATAGCTACATTAAATTCTAGAGGTTAAAGGTTTATTTGCAACGTGAAATAGGACTGTAGGAGTAAGGAGATAGGGTAAGTTTAAATCATAAACCATTACGTGGGAGACCCTTATATATAATATAGGCTACTCTCACTACTCTATTTCTTATTTTTCCTCAATAACAGTATCCACAAATAATAACAAATGGACTCGTCTATCGGCAACCCTCTGTCATCTACTTGAACTTGTGCGGAAGATGTTCGCACAATCTTATGCATTTTTTTTACTTATTCATTATTTTGTCTAGAGATAATCCTTATTCCTTACCAGTACTTACGAGCATCAGTGTCATATTTAAGGTACTTGCTGCCCTAAGCTAAATTGAAATCAACCCAAGTGGCCCTGCAATGGTGGCAAAATTGTGTTGTGACCATGAGAATCTATAGGCCTATTAATTTAAATAAGTTAAGTTATATCACCAGAAACCAGTTTTTGGCTTTAAGCAACGGTGCAACTTAAAGAATGCTTTATAAGCATTTTTTTAAATTGTTATCTCGATTAAATAAGGTCCCATCTGGGTACAGTTTCTTAACTGGGCTATGCTAATATTGATGGAAACTATCGATTCGATCAGTAAACCTCCATGCGATTTTTTCACCATCAGCAAGTTTGGTTGGTTAGGTTAGATTATGATAGTTTTATCTTATAATAGATATATTTAAAAATATCGAGGCAATTATTTGGTATGTCTACAACGCGATATTATGTACTTTTTTTATGTATACTTACAGTATTTTTCACGCTGAATCCAAAAATGCAATCAGTTTTTGTCGGAGAGATTCCTAAATGATCGTAAAACGAGGGTCAACATTACGAATCTAAGGTTCATTGAGCTATACTGATGGCAATATGGCGTGGTCTGGACGGGTCCGTATGTGGACTGAGGACTGAGTGAGGTGGAGAGCAAACAGCTGTTTGTACTTGATACTTAATGCGGAATGAAATCAATTCGTTTTGAAACCAGAGATAATCAGAATCAGTTCTTATTTAGGCATGTGAGGAAGGTAGGTCGGGTTTTATGCGGATTCGTGACTGTATTAAGTGTTTTGAAGTGAGGTTAGATTAGGAAGGTAAAGGTTAGGTTATTATGAACCGACTCATTAATTTATGCTACTTCCAGACTGTTTTTGCACAATTTAATAGTGGGTGAAACACAATGAAATAACGATATCAAAAATGCGTAAGCATTTTTTATATTTTTATTTCATTGTGTTTCACCCACTATTTCAATTGTGCAAAAACAGTCTGGAAGTTGCATAAATTAATGAGTCGGTTCATTATAACCTAAACCTAACCTTTAACTTACCTAATCTAACCTCACTTCAAAGGACTTAATACAGTCACGAATCCGCATAAAGTCCGACCTATCTTCCTCACATGCCTTTTCTGACATAAAATGCGATTTAAACATTACTTTTAAGGTTGGGTTGGGTTAGGTTAGGCTAGATTAGATTAGATTATGTAACATCATTTATTAGTTGCTGATACATTAAATTATGCACTGTGGCACGTTTTCGCTTTTAGACACAATGGGATTATGTACTATGGGATTATGCACTATGGCACGTTCATTAACAGACGTTGAGGCATTAGACAATGGTTCAGGATTGGAATGAGGACGATGATCATGTCGGCAGATTCTATTTTGTTCTATAATTTATGTTGATGTGATTAATAGTTTATGTAGCCTATCGTGGTTGATTTATTGTATTTTCTAAACAGCACCAAAGTCCATTCTCTTTTAAAAATCTAGTTATTGCATATTGTAACTCTGATTTTGCTCTCATGGCGTCGTGTGTGGTTTTGTTTGTTATTATCGAATGTAAACAACTGACAGCTGTTTCCACTCCACAATCCTTCCTCCCCTTTAAGTGTTAGTCGCCACTATAACTTGGACTCGTCCATACCACAAATATGTGAATATTACAACAAAACTGAAGCTTAATATTAATTATTTAACTGTACGGTCATTTAGGAATCTCTCCGACAAAAACTGATTGCATTTTTGGATTCAGCGTGAAACTGTAAGTAGACATCAAAAAAGTACATAATATCGCGTTGTAGACATACCAAATAATTACCAATATCGATTAATAATCAATATTTTCAATTCGATAGTTTCAATCAATATTAGCATAGCCCAGTTAAGAAACTGTACCCACCTATTTTGTTGGTAATCATTGTTAAGTTGGTTCCATTCATCCCTGGCTATTAAATCTCAGACATAAAAACTAGTTTAATTTAGCTTAGAGGCTTAAGTTAGTATTGTACCTTAGCTCGAGACATTTTAACTTATTAGAGTTAAAAATAAGTAGGTATGCCTAGGCCTACTCCCAAGTGAAAAATAAGCCTAGAAAACAAACATTTTCAACCCACATCAATGTCACTAAGGAAAAACAATTTTTATGGAACGAAAACGTGTGGGACATAGGGATAAAATAAAATAAGTTACATTAAACCAAAATAGGCCCCGATTAAAATAAATGTAATTAAATGATAAGGTTAATTAGAAAATGTTTTACCTCCTAGTGTTCACTGACTTTGATATCTGCAAATATTTCGTAGTCTACTTCATGCCTCACACTACACAACAGAATTTTGAAGGGAACTGCAGTCTGCAGAACAGTAGAAGTGAATAAAATTATGATTCCGTTTCGTCTCAACTTTATGATTATTTGATAAAATAGTAAACGTCAAACGTCATACCGAAAAACAGATGAAGGGAGGTGAGTCTGCTGAGCTGAGATGAGAGTGGAGTGGGTTGGGTGAGACAGGGGACAGGGACGCAGCAGCACTTGCACTTGACTTGAGCTTGAGCGATCGCGATAAGCCACACGAAACCAACGTTAGTCATAGATTATCATAACTTAAACTTACACCCATGTTACTTTTTGAAAAATAGACTGTGGCCTTTTCCACGTTTGTACAGCAATAGGGGGGTTGCACTGTTTTATTCGGCGTTATAAGGGCCAAAACATACTAATCGAAATGAAATGAACATACTAATGAAATGAAATAAAATGAAAAGGTTTTTTTCAAAAACACGATTTTTCGTTATTTTATGGAGTTTTATGAGGAAATAACATTGGTTACAATACATTAGTTGGTTATAATTGTATCTATATTGACTTTAGTAAAGCATTCGACTGCATCAGCCACGACCATCTTTTGGTAAAATTAAAGAGGTATGGTATGACATTGTCGGAAGCCTGTTGAGATGGTTTAAATCATCTTAAAGACCATGTTAAAGACCGCATTTCAGCTGTCAAGTTTGCTGGAGCCAAGTCAATCCCTTTCTCTACGGTTTCAGAAGTCCCCAGAGTTCTCATGGGTCAATTTATTTTCAATATTATTATTTGTTAACGATGTTGTGGATTGTATCGACTCTCGCTCTCAATGCTTGCTGTTTGCCGATGATATCAAGGTTTTTAAGTGTATTAAGTCTCACAGTGTACTAAGTCTCCGACAGCATTGTATTTTTAAACATAAACATGACCTTCAGTTTTGTGCTGTGTCTGATGATGCCAGCATAGCTGGCGAAAAGCCTCATGAAATTAAAAATTCTGAAAATATTGGTGAAGTTTTTATTTTAAATTTATACTTATCTTATGTTTTAAAGCTGCAAAGTATATTGTTGCAACCTGCCTAATGCAAAAAGATATAAACCAAATTCTGAAAAAAAAAAAACACCTGACTGGACTGAGTGAGTGAGTAAAACAAAGCTGTCTGCTCAAGTGCTCAATGTGCATCCAAGAAGTTTAGTTTGGAAACTCAAATATTAAAACATTTAAAACTGTTCCAATTAATTGCTTTAAATTGTAAATTTTAATCTACCTTTCACGTGCGGCTTGTTACTTGTTTAAAATCAGTCACTTAAGGTTTTATACCATTTTTAATAACAAAATAATATCGTATCATGGAGCTAGATAATTTCCTGTACAAAATTCAAGGTGTTTTAAAAACTGAAGAAAAGTTAATAGGTCCTCTTTACAACATCAAGAAAGGTTGGTCTTGGTTATTATAATATAGCTACAACGCTACAACTGTTTATAATAATTATTGTCAGTACTGTAGACTATTCCATTTAAGAACAAGATGGAGTGAGAATACCCATAATAAAGTTAATGTAGGCCTATGGTACCGTATCTTAATAATCTGTTAAAAGGTTTTAAGTTCTTAATAGGCTAATGAAGAATTATTAATAGGCTAATTGTTGGACCTAGGTAGTGATGTGACGACTCGAGTAGTTGCTTGACTTGAACCTTGAACTCGAGACCGGTGTATACACACAGCCAAAAAGTGTGTTGGCTGCACTTTACTTGACGTCCTACACTCATTCGATTGTTTTTCGATTCGATATTTTCATTCGATTGTTTCATTCGATATATCGTTTGGTTAGTTAGGTTAGGTTAACCTTACCTAACTAACCAAACGATATATCGAATGAAGCAATCAATTTATCGATATATCGATCGATATTTTCATTCGAATGAGTGTAGGACGTCAAGTAAAGTGCAGCCAGTGTGTATATTACCAATAACATTGTACATGAAGTCAATATAAACTCTTCTTTTACATAGGCAAGGCATATGTAGGTAAAATATATATTAGGTATATATAAATAAATAAATACATAATAAAATAAATAATAAAAATAGTCAACGACTAAAAAAAACTTTAAAATAGATTGACTCGGCAACTTGACCTGTCACATCCCTAGACCTCAATCAATCAATCAATCAAAATAACTTTATTCATATTGCACATTTTGTACAGAATGGAGTCAGTTATAAAAACACAATATTAAACTTGGACTACTTACAGAGAATATTGTTACCTACTATAACAAAATCAAATTTCAGGAAGTTGGAAAAAATCTTTTATACAAGGGTCTGTTGGTGAGAAATAATTTAAAACATTTTTGACATGAATTAAAATTAGTTATATTTTTTAAATTGTCAGGCAAGCTATTGAAATATTTAACACCACTATAAGATGGGATTTTTTCGTAAACTGATAAACTGTGTCTGTTGAATGCCAATTCATTACCTTTTCTGGTTGAATACATGTGAAAAGAGTTCAATTTTGGCAATCTTTCATGGTTTGATTTAATATAAAGGGCTATTTGATAAATGTATAAGCTAAAATCAGTCATAATTCCTATTTCTTTAAAGTGCTCTTTTGCGGATTCTTTTGATTTTAGTTTTAGCATGATGCGAATTGCTTTTTTCTGAAGTTCCAGAATGCTGTTTAGGTTAAAATTTGATGTGCCACCATAAAGACACAATAAAATCTAATATAAACAAGGCCTTTATTTATACCTAGGCCTTCTCTTATAATTAAATGCACCTACATTGATTTGATACATTACTGATTATACCGATAGTTTGGTTACCAATTGAAGTCGGAAATCAAAGTGTTGCCCAAATATACATTGCCACTTCTAAAATAGTTTGTCTTAAGCAGTAAGCTTACTAGGAATATTAAACATTGAATTTTGTATCAACTTAACTTATAAACTACTTTAAAAGTCACCTTGTTTTCTTTATACTGTATGTTGCTTCTCCTTGATTGCTTGTCCTTGCAAGCAGTAGTGACCAACTCAAGAGTGGAATTAGGCTAAAGACCTTTCCTTTCCTACTTTAATTAATGAATTAACTCAAATGTAAGTTAACTTTCTTGACCACCTTTTTCAGAAAATGAAGAGGAGTATTCAAAATTGGAAGCTTCTTTAAAGAAGGCTATCACTGACAGGCCTCAAGATACAAACTACAGAGTGGAAGTTCAGCTTTATATTCTTCTTTTCTTGAACACTGACATCAGTCTGTACAATGATTTGAAGAAAAATCGAAAATGTGCCCATCTAGTTGGTTTCTTTCCAAAAATTAGTCAGGATTTGTTTATAAAATTAACCCTCGGTCTAAAGTTAAATAGATATTTGTACGAATCAGTGAAACACTTCAATTCTTCCCTCTCCGTTCAAGTAGCTGACATATGCTTGAAATCTCTCAAGTGGATTGATCTCTTTGAGGCTGTGAATCTGACAGAAAACTTGATCATATCGCTGTTCAGCAAGATCGTTGAAACAGATGAAACGGATAAGTACTACTCGCACTTAAAAGATGTGTTTCAAAGGCTTCTCCTGCACTACGATGCAGAAAAAGGCGGAAGTGTGAAAAGAATGGGCTCTTGGAAAAAATCTAAACTGAAACATTATGCTGGATTAGTTATGGCAAGCTTATTAGAACTAGTACATCAATGTTCTAAAATATATTTGAAGAAGAATGATAATGATGATACCATTGACTACTCTTTGTTCAGTATACAGATTGACAATGATTCCATTGATCTAAAGCATCTACCAGATGTTTCCACCAGTGGCTCCATTACTCTACAGCAGTGCTATGAACATATAGTGGCAAGATGTCTGCAGAATGTCAGCGACATCACGCTGGATATTTGGCTGTTTTGGCTGGAGATTGATTTGGATGAAATACCTGATACTGAGAACACGCTGCAAAAGCTTGTGGGTGAAAAAGCGTTCAAATGTCAAGAAGCTCTGAAAGAAGCCGAATGTTCGGGAATGTCATCGAAAGAGTCTTCTGAGTTGTTAAACAGATTGACAAACATTGCAATCAAACCAAGCACAGAGGAGGACTTAGCAGCTTCTCTTGATTTAGAAAAAGTACTGAACAATATCAATGATCCAGAAAAGGACTCTGCAAAATGGTTGAAATATTTAATAAGCAATCCGGACATTGTTGTCGATCCATCTGCTCTTGATGTTTTAGCTAGCAGAGTCAATAACTTGGAATCCAATGATGTTCTAAAACTCTATAAGACAATTTTTGAGCATTTAATACACACTCCTGACTCACTACATCATAAAACTTTTATTTTTGAAACAATAAAACAGTGTAGTGTTCATGTTCTACTGGAAGTTTCAAATGTTTTTGTTGAAGTCTGCGGAACCTCTGATTTTTTAAAACAGGAAGATTTTCAATCGACTATGGTAGAGACTTTTAATATGGTCATTAATGAAGAAGATAAGGAAAAGGAGGTAAGGAATTATTTTGGTTTCTAAATAAATATACACAATAGATGAGTGGTACAAACTGTTTAATTATAGCCTACGTGAATAAGGGAATATTTCAACCATCCCTGAATTGGAAGACCAGAACTGCCAACACTGGATTATTATTTTAGTCTAGGCCTTATATTAGGTTTAGATTAGGCCTACCTGGTTGCTGTCAAAACGATCCTTTTGACAAAGCATTTTTTTGACAGCAGACAGGTAGCCTAATCTAAGGCCCCTATTAGACGAGGTAGCCTGGCGACGTGCCAGCGACAGTAGCTGGCGACGCACTGGCCACCAAACCTATAACCTATTATAGTAGCCAGGTGAGTAGCTAGAATTTTACCGCCGTTACTCATTTTGTTGTGAGTGCTTGTCTTGTACTTGTACTTGTTATGAGCGGTATGTTTACAGTGAATAATGAGTGATTATAAGTATCTTCTCCTTCTGTTACTTCTGAAGAAATGGAGGCAAAGGAAGAGAAAAATATTCCTTTGTTCACCTTTCAGAGGTTCTTCTTTTTAGCGAATTTCCCTATAGTAGGAAGTAGCTATTACCGTAGGTCTCATGGTAAGACTTAGGCCCGGGACCAATTTACTTTTTCATTTTAATGTCCCCAGAGGCCAAAAACACCATTGGTTCAAATTTTTATATATGTATATATATATATATATATAGATATATATATATATAGATTTATATATATATACAGGGTGAGTTTCTACTGACCGTGTTAACTTCGCCAGTGGGTTCTACTCACTAAAAGGAACAAAAAAGTTCCTATAAACCCATGTCCGATTTTCGACCGTTTGGCTGTTTTAGGGGATTTTGTGTTTTTCTTATTTTATTAGACTTTGCTCCACAATTTATGTAATAAAAACTTAACCAATTACTTTAGAGAGTTATAGTTAAAATCATTGGAAAGAACATTAAATTTTCTATAAATCAAAGGTTTCATTCAACAATTATACCATTACATAGTCCACGTTATAACCAAAATAAAGTAAAAATGTCATTAAATTAATTAATTACGATAATTTTCATGGGCCTCCTTTGATACATAAACCTGCATTTATGCAATGTTGAAATGCATAAAAAACTTTGCATTTTAATAATCTTTCAAATGATATGCTATTCAATACTATTATTGATATAAACCAGTGAGAAATTACTAATAAACTACAATAAAACACGGTTTACAGATTTTGTTTTTGCACAGTTTTACTTTTAATAATAATTACTGTATACTCCATGATGTATTTTATTGAACTATCTGATAAAATTTGTACATTATTTTGACTTTTAAATATTTATTAAAATTATCTGAATTAATAAAATGTATAAACTCAAGGTTTTTCACATTTTCAAAGATAGTGTGTTTGATTCTTAAATGCTGTGTAATTAGTTTTACCTTGTGCTTGATTAAGTCAGCTTTTATTGATTTGTCATCTATAGCTAGATAACTCAGCTGCTTGAACATACCTTGTTGAGTAATTTGCTGTTTTAACTTTCCAAGTCAATTAAGAGTTTTTCAACATTTATTAAAATATGGAGCCTTTTACCAATCTAGATTATGCCAACATGATGAATACAGTAATTATTATTAACAGTAAAACTGTGCAAAAACATAATCTGTAAACCGTGTTTTATTGTAGTTTATTAGTAATTTCTCACTGGTTTATATCAATAATAGTATTGAATAGCATATTATTTGAAAGATTATTAAAATTCCAAGTTTTTTATGCATTTCAACATTGCATAAATGCAGGTTTATGTATCAAAGGAGGCCCATGAAAATTATCGTAATTAATTAATTTAATGACATTTTTACTTTATTTTGGTTATAACGTGGACTATGTAATGGTATAATTGTTGAATGAAACCTTTGATTTATAGCAAATTTAATGTTCTTTCCAATGATTTTAACTATAACTCTCTAAAGTAATTGGTTAAGTTTTTATTACATAAATTGTGGAGCAAAGTCTAATAAAATAAGAAAAACACAAAATCCCCCAAAACAGCCAAACGGTCGAAAATCGGACATGGGTTTACAGGAACTTTTTTGTTCCTTTTAGTGAGTAGAACCCACTGGCGAAGTTAACACGGTCAGTAGAAACTCACCCTGTATATATATGTGTCCGTGAACACGATAACTTGAGTAATTTTTATCCGATTTTGATGAAATTTGGTTTGAAGGTGTAAGTCGGGATAAACTTGAATGAGTTCGCGATCCAGCATGATCGGACCATGGGAACAGGGTTTTATGGGGGGTTTTATGGGGTAAAAATTGGTTTTTCTCACTTCTTACCCTCAAAACACAAAATTTCCCAATTTTTCTCTAAACCTTCTTAAAGAGCTTAAAAAAACAAACAATTCAGTATATCAAAGTGTTTTTGTATGGTTATTGGTTACGGAGAAAACTAAAAAAATGGTAAATTTAAAATTCCCATGTTATTCTTATGGAGAATATTGTAAAATGTTGTAGTTTGCTTGTTTATGGATATATTTTGATCAAACTTGGCAAATTTATTTATTTTATAGTAAGCTATCAATATTTTACTAAAAACACACTACTTTATTAGTTTCCTTGTAGCAGCAATCCTAGGTACTCGTTAAACCTAATGTTATTTAAATAGATCAATTGAAAATCAATTCGGCCAAATGGAAATTCGCTAAGACGGCAGGTTTGCTGCGGCGGGGATATTTTCTTCATATCTTCGCGTATCCCTTCGACTGAATCAGATGTAGACATTTTATCAACTGAAGTGAACAATTCACCCACTCACAACACAACAGAACGCAACACAACAGTGTGCAAGTACCCCCGTGATATGAACTGACCGAGTGGCGACGTGATACTGGCGACCTAGTGTAATAAGCTCCATATGCTACAATGCAGCGTCGCCAATATGGGTAGCCAGTGGCTACCGCAGTGGCGACGGGGCTCGGTAGCCAGTTGGTCGCCAAAGTGTGGCTGCGTTGCTGGCTACCCTCGTGTAATAACATCCATAAGAATCAATGACCATTGACAAGCTGAGTAGCCAGTTTGGTCGCTGGCGACGTCGCCAGGCTACCTCGTCTAATAGGGGCCTAAATCTGTATTAGTTCATTGAGATCCTGAGACCATTCTATCATGATATTTATAGTCAAAAGCAAATAAATGGCCTCTGTACTTGTTCATTATGCCCAAAATTAACTTACTTCCTTGTAAATTGTAGTTTATCTCAATCATTTTTTAATTGTTCAGTACAGTAGTAAAATGGTGATTGTGAAGGCCTAGACCGACCTATTACATTTAAGATATTATGGTGTTTGGGCATGCTGCTAACAATTCAATAGCTTTTTTTGCTAAGGTAGGTAGACAGTATCTTTTACTTCCACCACTTACCCACTATAAGAGATGTTTACAAGTTATAGGAGAAAGTATATGCCATTTTACTGATAACGTTTATGTATGTTAGTGTATGCCTGTGGCATTTTGACTGGAAGTGTCACAAACGCTAGGGAAAGCAGTAATTTTTTGATTCCGTCCCTCTCACGCTGAAATCTAATACATTAACCACTAGGCTAGCAACAAATTTACCACATCTATGATCATTAATGTTTTGTTTTAGAAACAGCTCTAGTAGAAATATTGTAGATTTTATTACAAAAACCCTATCCCTTTTCAGGAATCCTGACGGTTTGGTCTGTTACTAATTTCACCGTTTTACAGCTGATGCCGATGTTTGTGAGTCTGGCACTCCAGGACGCTGCGACTCTGTTGAAGCGAGCCGTGTCAGAGGGTATCACCAGCGAAGTCCGAGGCCACCTTATGGCTGGCATACTCGGCCAACTGCACCCGTTTTGTCACACAATTCGGTCCACACCCCGCACACTTCTGATTGAAGCCCTGGATGAGCTTCTTGTTGCTCTCCCTGACCTACCAGAGAGCCAGCGGATAAACTATCCGTTTTTTGTAAGTTAAATTTCAAGCTATTAATTTTATTTTTATTACATAGGCTATGTTTTACACCTTTGTTTACTATTTATTTATTATGATATTTATTATGATACTAGATAGGCCTACTATATATTTCAGGTGATATAAATGAATGTGAAAAGTTGGCATGGACATAAAAAAATAAAGTAAAATATGTATTGTACTAAGCACCTGACCTCATTGACAGACATAAAACCACTTTATAAAACCAAGCTGAAAAGCTAGGTCATCAAGCTAGGTTGTTATATATTTTTAATGTCTCAAAATAGAGTAAAAAACACCAATTTCAGCATATTGTTTTTACATCTTCATGGGAGTGAACCACCGGTATTCCATACCCCAGCGACCCCTAGTTCATATACCTGGCTATGCTACTACCCCTAAGGAACTGATTAAAAGCTGTCAATATGACCATGTGTAATGTAGAACAATGAATTTCAGGTTCGGGAGTTGGTGATGAGAACGATTCTGCCCGGGGAACAGTTTATCCAACATTGCCTCATGGGAAAGCTGTTCACGCATATGAAAACAGAAAACTGGGTTGTGATGTCTGTTTGTCTTGAAACTCTTACGGTAAGTATTTAATTCCTTACACTTTCTTCAGCTACAAGAACGCATTTACTACGCATTTAAAGTTGTTAAAAAAGTGGAATTTTTTTTTAAATATTGAATCTAGGTTATCAAAAGAATTTATGCTTTAGGAGTTATGATGTAAACAGTTCATTTTGGTCTTTCGTGCTGCAATGTTACAAGCAACAATGGAAATGTGATAGTATTTTTACCAAGCCTAATTATATACTTAGTCAAAACTAATGCAAATTGTTCTGTGCATGTGTACACTCATAATTTCTATAGTGATCAACTCATAATTTTACAACAGATTAAACTATGCGCATAACAGAGAATTTGTGTAGCCCAACATTATTGAAAGGTCACAGATTTGTATTCTAGGCAATTAGAAGACACCTGCTGCAAATGAATTGAGCAAGTACTACGACTGTACTCTTAAAACAGTACCACAACTTTATTCAACTACCTGGGTGAAACAATTTATCAAAACATTCTTTAAACTATAAAGACAAGCAAGCAAGAATAGGTTTGTACATAATACAGGGTGATTAGTACTCAGTGTGACAAAATTTTTTTGGTGTAAGTACAAAGTAAATGAAGTGTGATGATGCAATGTTCCAAGTCTAAAAATTAGCTTCCCAAAAAATTATTTTATGTTTTTAAAAAATAACCATGTTTTTAAACTTAATACAGCGATTTCTCAATTACCTGTATATGGATTTGAGTAGATAATGTCATTTTCGTGTTCTATATTAAATTTTGAACAAGAATAATATAAAATGACGGAGGATCAGTTGTAAAAACTCCATTGTAAATAGATTCAAAGATAAAAATTAAGATGTTTGATAACAATTTTAAAAACAATTGTCTATTACATTTTTCGCACCCAGTATACAAGAAAGTGTCGGAATATGTTAAAAACTGCGCCATTTTATAAGCTTTCCAACCATATGCTACACTATTGAGGTTTAGATATTTTTTTGTTTGTTTTAGTGGTTTGAATACCAGAAAACAGGGAACTTGTTTACTGTTTTTACTGTTCAAGCTGAAACAAAAATACAACTTTTGCTTAATACCTGCCGACTTTCTATGTTTTAAATGTTAAAGACGCCATGCTTTGTAGTCTTCAAACCATTAAAGCGTACATAAGCAGACATAAACCTCAATAGTGTAGCATATGGTTGGAAAGCTTATAAAATGGCACAGTTTTTAACATATTCCGACACTTTCTTGTATACAGGGTGTGAAAAATGTAATAGACATTTAAAAAAAAAACTTTTATCAAACATCTTAATTTTTATCTTTGAATCTATTTACAATGGAGTTTTTACAACTGATCCTCCGTCATTTTCCATTATTCTTGTTCAAAATTTAATGTAGAACACAAAAATTACATTATCTACTCAAATCCATATACAGGTAATTGAGAAATCGCTGTATTAAGTTTAAAAGCATGGTTATTTTTGAAAAACATAAAATAACTTTTTGGGACGCTAATTTTGAGACTTGGAACATTTGATATGCATCATCACACTTCATTTACTTTGTACTTACATCAAAAAAATTTTGTCACACTGAGTACAAATCACCCTGTATATCAATATTACGATATCTCAATTACAGGAACTGCTAGACATAGGCTGCGTACACAACTGTCCTGCCACCATAATGATGTTGATGCAAGTTGTCGAGGCTAGTCGTTGTCAGCCCAACAATTACACTGTCGCAGCAACGCAAGTGTGTCAACAAGCCCTACATTTAGTCTCAATGTACGTCTCCAAATGGCACGACCAGGGACTTGATGGTACGTAAGCACTGATGTTTAGATTCAATACTCAACTCTGATCGGTGTTTTTGTGTGTATTATTTGTGTATTAAGTTACCGTTTACCGTCACTTATAGTTTTACGGTTTAGGATGCAAAATTTTCAAATATTTCTCGGTTGAATATTTAAATGAAATGACCTCAAACCAAAGCAGGCTACGTAAAAACAACATTTACACTTTAAAAAAGATTGGTCAGGCATAAAAAAATTGTTTTTTGGGGAAGGATGAAGATGCCATACACAGGATGATACAACTTACTTAAACTAATCTAATCTTAAACCATCAATCCCTATTGTTGTTAATGGAGGCCTGTTGCCAGTACCTTAAATCAACTGGTACTGTGTGTGTGACAGGCCTGTTGGTTTTTCTAATTTTCGGATAATTTTTAAATCTTTGTATTATGTGTTTTGATGATGCTGCTTTAGCTGAATGAATCTTGAAGTGTCTGATGATGGCATTGTAATATCAAAACGGCCTTAATACAAGTTATAACTGGTTGAGCTGTTGACCAAGGCAAAACCTATTTTTCGCGTCTATAAATCAATTGTTTTTCAATAGAAAACTACTAGTAATACATAAACTTTTCCGTAGCTAATTTTTCCTATTTGTATTTCAATGCAATTGGCATTTTTCATTTTTCTTGGGGAACAGTCAAAACCCTGGTTTTGTTACTGTGTAACGTCGACCTTCTGTTGGATTGTATTTTTAATTGATGGGCCAATGACAACAAACACATCACACACATTTTGATGTGTTGTGGGCATCTGAGTCCAGCAATGGTCTTGCTTGGAATTGAACCAGCAACCTTCAGACTTTAAGGTGAGCTCTGTAACACTATACACCACCTATACTGTACATACAAATATGTAATGATGCTCAGCTAGTAACCAGAAAGTCACTGTTTCAACACTGAGAAAAAAGAGAAGCTTTCTGATGGTTCTCAGTCCTTGATTATTATTATTAGGCTAAAAACGTTCCTAGCTAAAGAACAAGCTGTTATCTCATTCGTTCAACTTCTCTTATTCATATTCACCTAAAATACACACTCTGGTGGGTCTATATCTTAAAAATCTAATATATTATTACAGACAACACTTTTTACCAGCCTTGCAGTAATTTTTTGTCTACAGAGAAACAGTTAAGTAACCTGAAACTCATGGTCCGCCAACACATAAGTCCACTTAACCGCTTCCACCTCTACCGTCTGATGGACGAACCCGTACCATCGGACTCTGCTCTGCGACTCTTGTATTACACACATTACGGCATCGGAGAATGGAGCGTGTCACAGATCACTCCCGATGAAAGACTCATGCTCGTCTACGCTCTATGCTTTGTGAGTATCTAGTTTTTGTATATGTCTAGTTATCTGAATAATTTATCAGTACTAAGACTTCTCAGTATGTACACTAGATTTCCTAGATTTCACTACTGAAAACAAGATGGAAGTTTGTATATTAAAGCTTAATCCGTGATTAGCAACAGGTTTTTATTGTAAAATAAGGCCTTCAACTGGTTTATTTGAACGATAATTTAAAGTGCATAATAAGGCTTGACAGATGATAACTATTATTAGGTATCAGGGTAACTTTTTAAATATTTTCAATTATCACAACAACTTTCGCACAATTATCAAACTTCTGATCACCTTCCTTAGTCTTATGGACATCATTGTCTCCCGTGGTCACTGTTTGTTGTTCTCCCCTATCGCAGAAAAGGGTGGATTCAAACATGTACTCTTTGTAGACTAGGTAAATAATATGGGCATAGACCTTGATACTGATAACTATGTTCATCAAGAATCGACACATCCCTAGTTTCAAGTCAAAAATTTAAATCTTGGATATATCCGTAAATTGAATAAATAATAATACAAACCGATGTCATAATCTATGCTTGGCAGGTACTACCTAGGTTGACTGTTGGTGAGTGGCGAGAGATGTTTTGTGTGGTTGCCCCCAAGTGTTCAGAGTTCCTAATTCTCTTCAACATCGTCACCGAACCTATACACTGATGTCATAATCTATGTTTGGCAGGTACTACCTACATTGACTGTTGATGAGTGGCGAGAGATGTTTTGTGTGGTCACCCCCAAGTGTTCAGAGTTCCTAATTCTCTTCAACATTGTCACAGAACCTATACACCGATGTCATAGTCTATGTTTGGCAGGTACTACCTACGCTGACTGTTGGCGAGTGGCGAGAGATGTTTTGTGTGGTTGCCCCCAAGTGTTCAGAGTTCCTCATTCTCTTTAACATCGTCACCGACACTCTACTGTTGTGTCTGGACTCCGCCAAGATGAAGCCAGATAATCAAACAGTCGTCACCTGCCTCAGCGCTACGATCCTCAACATTGCACATGTTATCAAGGTGAGATCCCCTGTTAGTCACAAGTTATTTTTTTTGCAAATTTCCCATATAAGCTCATGGTAAGACCTGGGCTCAGAATCGATTTACTTTTTTGTTTAGATGTCACTAGAGGCCAAAAACCCAGTCAAAAGTTCATAGATAATTATCGGTTAGCACAGTAACTCAAGTAAAAATAATTCATTTTGGTCAAATTCTGTAAACATGTGTAAACCTATAGTGCAACTACACCATCATAATTAACCCCCTTTTTCAGAATCGGTATCGACTACAGCGGTTCGAGTATCAGCGATTCTTCGATACCGCTGGTATTGAAGGTATTGAGAATCAAAATCGTCCCATCCCTACGTTTTTCCAATATCAATACAGTATTTCTAACCTCGTGCTCTAACCATTTTTCTACTAAAATGTTCCATTGTTTCCAGGATGAACTGACCCGCTGGACAAAAGATGACAATGAATATCGCATCAGCGTTCTGAGCAAAATGTGTCTGTTGATGTCCAGCCTTCCGTTGGATCGTCAAGAGTCGTCAGGTCTCTCATTGGTCAAGGTATGTTTTAAGAACGGTGAGAGCTGTAAAAAAATTCGGGGACAGGTTTAATGGGTCACCGTATAGTAATCAAGAATAACATATTTTTTGCACTTAATTACGGGACACCCTGTATACTCAATTTTATTATCCCTCCAACGCTAACCCCACCAACCACACTGATACACCACCAACAGCAACTACACACATATTTTGCCCCAGAGATATCTTGACGTTCTTTATACGGCAGGCTTTACACCATGCATTAATAGCCCAACTCGAGTTTCAGTTGATACCAAGACCTGCATTGACCACATTTTTACCAACGTAAAACATGTAAATACAGTTAAGTCAGCAATAATACACACTTCAATAACCGACCATTTTATAACTTTTGCATCGGCTGACTTAACAATAAGGTAACAAGGTAATAAGGTAATCATTATAAGGTAACAAACAGAAATTCCAACAGTTTTTTAAGCTCAGAAATTAGAAAAACCAATTTTTACCCCAATAAAATGTCGTAAAACCCTGTTCCCATGGTTCGATCATACTGGTTCGCAAACTCATTCAAGTTTATCCCGCTTTACATCTTCAAACCAAATTTCATCAAATCGGACAAAAATTACTCAAGTTATCGCGTTCACGGACATGTGTGTATATATAAAAATTTGAACGATTAATGGTTTTCTCCTCTTAAAAATGAAAAAGTTTATCGGTCCCGGCTCCAGGTCGTACCGTGCCACATACGGTAATAGCTAATTGCCTATAGGGAAATTCGCTAAAAGCCATGTGGCCTTAACTTTTACCTGCTATAATAAAGAATTGCCACGCTTCCCTGTTTTCATTAATTTTCAACACATGGATTTAGTACTGAAAACACCAGTAGGTTAGGTAGTATGGCAAACCTGTACGGTATTTCTGTGACAGAAAAGTTTTAAGTAAAGTATCCAGATATGTGGAACTGTAAAAACAAAACTAAAATATTTGACGAATAAAGAGTAATTTTAACATAAAAATTAAACTAGTTAACCCTAAAAAAAGGTAACAAGTACAATCAATTTGAAGTGATATTTGAACAATAACATGCATTTTCTGAATACAGACAGAGAGACTAAGAGGTTTCTACAGTATATGTAATAGCTTGCAATTTCAGAGAACTCAATTGTTCTCAGGGAGGGTGTATAACCATAGATCGGATGATTAGGATTCACACTCATAATGTAATTACTGATATGAAGCACAAAAAAATTGTATTTCACTACATATAAACTAATCAAAATCATAAAGTTGGTAAATAACAATAGTTAGCACTGGTATAGCCTTTTACAAAATGCTATTAGTAGGTGACCCTTGGTTTTCCCGGGGCAATGATGAGTGTTTCCATACAGGAAAATTTACGACAACGCCACTAAGAGCGACATATGTTTGCAGGTGCTACAGCAGTTGTTGCCAGAAGGTAGTCGACGCAAGCCTCTCACGGCTCACGAGATGAACACTGTGACAACCTCTATCGGCTCCATCCAGTCATCCGTGGTGAGACAGAACTTGGCTCGTCAGTTCTTGGAGATGGTCCATAGATAGTGTGAGAAGAATCAAAGACTTAATAGTGAAACACATGTTGTGGTCTTGCGATTCCAAATCATCAAATTGATTTGCACTTGAGAAAAGTTTATTTAAAATCTAATTTGGCCAATGGTCGTGCTAATTTTACAATCAGCTTTGTAGTGTTTTCAAAGAAGTACCGGTAATGAAATGTCTATGCCTGTGGTCGTATAATTTCAAAATTACAGTTGATATTTGTTTCAATCAAAAGGTTAGCATCTAATCTGTAGTTGTTAATATTTATACAAATTTCACATTATTCTATGCAGTGTCAATTTTCCTTTTACTGTTGCCCTCTTGATTAGTATTAGACTTATATAGATCTCTAAAGAGCAAAGTGTAAATTCCAAGCTGTAAGGTTTTTTATCAGTAGAGGGAAATTAAAACAGTAGTATGTGATTCCAAGATGTATTTCTTTAGTAAATAATATTGGATCCATTTTTCATTTGTCGTATCCTTGTTTAATAGTGAGATAAACAGTATTGTATTGTTTTCACATTTGTTACATTTTTAATAAATGGTATAAAAACCTAGTAGCAATTTATGCAGACCTTTTTACGTTAAAAGGGCACTTTCAGGACTACCTAGAGTCAGGCTAGCTAGAATGAAAGCCTTCTTAGATCTCAAAATCTTCCATAGACTCTATCTTCTGTTAAAATAATCAGAACTTAAGTAATGGCAGAGTAGACGCAACATATTTGTCATTAATTACAATCCTAGGGCTGTGAATTGTAACTATTTATTCTGGGGGCATTACACTGACTCGAGGAGTATTTCCATTTACAATTTGTAACTTTTTGACGATAAACTAGCTTCATCCAATGTATAGTTTTTTTGTGATCTCGCAATTCAGGTAAACATTCTCTACGTAATGAAAATGTTACCTCTTACTATTATGACATAATCTCCTACATAAGAGGAAAAAAGTCCTGTGGCATACAAGATCAAAATCTCAGTGGCGGCTAGCCCATACGGACTCTTGGACGCCGCCCTCCCAACAATACATAAATAAATTATATTTTAAAATTCTTCAGTTAAATTAAATAAAATTACTTAAACAAGTATTTTAAATAATATAGGCCTACAGCATAAATGTATCAAATAATTGGATAATTCAATTCAGTAAAGACTTATTTTTGATTGTCACTTGCTTATAAGGACGGCAGCCAGACCGTCCCAATCCCAATACATGTAGCCTTATGGCAGAACAACCGAACAGGGCTGATGGTGCCGTGACGTCATTCCAATGCTTTAGTATGGCCGCTTTGGGGCAGAGTCCAAACTTGCGCGTGCACTCTTGAATCAGGGCAGCCACCACAATCTGGATATTCTGTCTGTATGGCAAGCTACCGTCATGATGGGTAGAACTGATGTTGGCGCACATGTTTGTCATAACTCAAACCATCTAATTCCTAAAACTAGAAAACAACTCAAACTGTTAATTTGGGTTTGGCTTGGTGTTGTTGTTTAGTGATTAATGAATAGTGATGAGTGGGAGTACTGTTCTTGCGTGTATTTAAGTAAAATACTAACTGTATACTTTATTAAATTGATTTCACATCCAGTTTAGTTAAAGGTAGGCATTTCTGGTTAATTATTATTAGAGAAGTACAATAGGTTTTTAGGTTTTTAAGTGTTGGAATGCATTTTTTTATAAGCTGTTTTACTTATTTGGCTTTCTATTCCTTATTACTTTAGTTATTCAATGCAATATTATCATTATTTTGTTAATGTTATTTTCAGGACAGGCCCATTTGCAGACACTATTATACAATAGGAGCCTTGGAAACAAGTTTAAATAAATATATATATCGTAGGCTAGGCTCATGTGTGTTTGTATTAAAGATTTAACCCTTAATTTGTTTTTAATTCTTTGACAAACATGAATGATGTTAGGCTTTTGTTTGTATATAAAAATATGCAGATCCATCCCACCACCTATGAACACCAGTCGCTACCTCAAAATCTAATCTGACAAACAACTAAGTTAATATAAAATCCATTGCTATATTCAGTATGTTCTTACTGAAAACCCTTGGGCTTGTAAGGATAAAATATTTTGTTGCAGTTATTTTATTTTGAAAAATATATTATGTTATAACAAACTAGGGCTATGTTTTATAGCTAGGTAACAAAATCTAAATTTGGAAACAATTCAGTCAGAGTCATCACTTTCTTCTTCTTCAGACCCATTTGCAATTTTAGGAAAAATTGAAAGGTCAATCTTTGTTTGATTAACAACATTTGGGTTATCAATGTCCATATTACTACACGAAGGAAGGTTAGCTATAAGACTTTTATCATCTTCATCTCTTGATACTTCTTGTGAACAAACACGTTTTATTTCGCTGACTTTACTATGCACTTCCATGAGCTCGATATTGTTTTTTTCAATCGCTAGTCTCACCTCTTGCAACGCTTTATGAACAAGTCGTTCTTCTTCAGCTAGTCTTCTCAATGTGATCTGTGCAGATGTTGTGTCTTTTACTTTTTCTTTTACATCCGCCATTTTACACCTGTAGGATATAACATTCAATTGTTATTAGATGAAATGTAGCAAATACAGGAAGAGATATACAAGATACCTCAAGTTAAGCTGAATCGAGAAGAACAATTAGGATATAAGTACTGACAAGTGATATGGCCTATAAGTGATATAGTGTGATATAAGCCTGGAAAGGAATTAACACGTTGACTGCGCGCGCCGACTTTAGTCCAACAAAAATATATTGAGTCAGTGTGAGCTTAGCCTCAGACGGAGACGTTATAATCGTTGCCAGCCTGCCAGCTAAGAATGCGAGCTTTACTTTGGTGTAGGTTGGTACTAAAATTTCCCGTAAAATCCTGTCTGGCAATGCTTTTGTCCCGGTTTCGGGGATTTTTTCTCTTCAACCCACATTACAAAGACACTGGATACGGATCCGTGCAGTGCTGCTACCTTTGGGTGTTTCAGTGAACTACATCCACTCTCGGGGTAACGCAGCACAGTCACCACTGCTCTTTTGTGATTCGTCAGACTGAAATATTTGAATGCCAATTGCGTTTGCTGATTCGGTTGCGCGCCGGGGCTTCGCCCGCCACTGGGGAGCGCCTGTAAAGTCGGCGCGCGCAGTCAACGTGTTAACTTAGATCCAGTACCAGAAATTTGTTATTGGTCTATTAATTAACCAGTACCAACAACTGTAGCAGTTGAGTTTAAAAAATACAAAAACAGACACATTTCATAATTTACAATGAATGGTATCAGCAATATGACAACTTATACTTTCTCCATTAGCTTGTCAACAACCCTAATCAAGGGTAAAAGGTGGGATTAGGGCTTACTATGATTTTGTATGGTGGAAACCACAAAAGTTGAAATTACTTACTACGATTTTAATTTAAATCATTAAAACTTGTTCTTAGAAAATCCAATTTTCTGATACTTAATGGGGTTTTCTGAGAAAATCTGCTATATATTATCAGATTATATTTCAATATACCTATATCGATTATATTTGTGTTCAATATTAATAAACATCAAATTTAATTTTGCTGTATGATATAAATAAAAACAATAACAAAAATACTAATATTTAAATATGTTTATGCTTGGTTTTATCCTGGGTAGTTCCGCATCTGTTGTCAAACACAATTAATTCGGTTGTTTTTGACAACAGATACGGAAGTGTACCCTTTATTTTACATTTTTATGACAAAAAGTGGAAAAAACTAGATAAATTTTTGAACGTGCATAGCGTTCAAAAATTTATCTAGTAATCTAGTATAGTTTGTAACCATATTACAAAAATTTTGTAATTGATTGTTTTGTTAAACGTTAATAAAATATATTTTGTTTTTGATTGAATACCGGTAAGTTATTGATAAGTTAGTTTCATGGTTTCACTTATTACTTAAACGTATATAAAAACAAACAGACCATGAACTTACTGTACTCAAATCAAGGATTAAATTTATTAAATATCAATAAAAACTTAACAGGTCACAATTCGATTCGATGTTTACATTGGAAAAATTTTTAGAAGCAATATATCAAACTAGGCCTAAGCTATAATTGCTATATAATATATATATATATAATTGATAATATATTGCAGGTTCTCCGTGGAACTAAACCCGAAAAATCATTCAAAATCAAAACCTCAATGAACAAAGCATCCTAGAGATACCATGGATGCCATAAACCTGCATACTAAGATAAATTTCATCAAAATCGAACCACAGGTGTGATTTCCTACCCTAATTAGCCTTTTGCTCTGTACACATCCACTCACACATAGCCTAGGCCTACATCACTTTGAAAAACAATTTTTTGGATTCAGAGGGAATCAAAACGGATAGGCCTATATGCATGAAAAACTCAAACTCTAAAGTTTTGACAAAAACAATACTTTCTCGATTACTTAGCCTAGGCCTATTAATTAACATTATGATCTCCTATTAGCAGTGTTTTAATGTGATAATTATTAGATTTATTTTAATGTGACATGACAATGCCTATTCTTTTGTAATTACTTACAACACAGAGGATACGCGTCCGGTAACCAGACGTGGATTAGGCGTCCGGTAACCAGACGAGGATTAGGCGTCCGGTAGGGGGTCCCGGAACGCCATTACCACAATGATACGATGATCAGCCATCAGTGTTCGTGGTGTAGTGGATAGAGTGCTCGACTGATATGCGAGAGGTCCCCGGTTCGAAACCCATCGGTAACTTTAACTTTTTGTCACAGATTTTGCTTTGAATGTAATTTCTTCTGAACTGTACATCTTTTGTTAGAATTTTTGGCATTTATAACTTTATGTTATGAAGAGAATTGAACCTTCATTTGATTTTTTTCACTATCAGCAAGTTTGGTTGGTTAGGTTAGGTTATGACAGTAACTGCCGGACGCCTAATCCACGTCCGGTTACCGGACGCGTATCCTCTGCGTACTTACAAACTTAATCTGTAATTACAATGGCAATAACTTAAATATTCTTATTATCTTATTCTTTTAGTATATCTTGGACTAGGCCTAGCCTATCTCTGACTTAGCTTCAACCTACCTATATAACCACTATAGACTTTGTGTTAGCAACAGAAGTTGATGGTATAAAAATGTGAACCAAACAGTGGTCATTAAATTAAATTACCAATACAAAAAAGTTAAAATGGGGAGGAAACACTCTAAATTGTGTTAATACATCAGCTCAGCTCTGAAATCCTAACATAACCTAACCTCAACCTCCACTCCAGTAGTTAGTTGTCAGTTCAAGTTCAGTTGTTTGTCTTTTTTGTTTTTTTTTATGTATTTTTCTGTAAGCTCTGTCTGAGTCTAACATCAAACCATAGAAGAAGAAGCAAGGTTGACCGACCATAGATTAAAATCTGAGACCTGGGATACTGAAGTACTAGCACGGCCACCTTTAACTACAGGCCGCAGCCCGCAGCCTGGTAGAATTCGTCGCAAGTAGGGTTGTTTGGTGTCAGACATCCTGTTTATGTTAGTTAGTCTATGAATTTAGCTTTTTACATAGCGTTATATGTGGTTAATAATATAATAATATAACGCATTAATTAATTCCAAAATAATTAATTGTTAATTTAGAAGTGAACATTTAAGCTCCATAGCATTAAATCATGTCTACTAACGGTTACTGAAGATGTATAGAAAAAAGTTGACAGACGATGTTTTAGGAACCTTCTCTTTCCTTTTGCCTTGATGAAATTATTGAAAATTCCGATTTAGATTTTTAGTTCTTACCCACACATCTTACCTAGAGAGTTTCAATTATTCGTGTAAAATTGCATTTATTAAAACTAAAAAACCTTTGAAAACCGGTCAAAATGTCTGGACGTATTCATTCTGAAGATGAACTTGGCAAGAAGTGGGATAGATGTGTTACTGATGGAATTCTCAAGACTAGTAAGTTTAAGTTAGGTCTATATTTACCTATGTTAATTTTTTGGACTACTGAAATTGTTACAATTCTGTACAATTGAATTAGTAGGTTTAAAAAAAACAACAAAAATAACGATTTCAAAAGTGCTTTCATGTAGGCCTACCTAGCCTAGCCTATTTTGGTTGTGTTGATAATGAGGCCTATTTACAGGCTAGTACCCTAGCCTAACATAAATTTCACCTAAGTTAAGCCTCCCAAAACTTTTTACAACCCAACATACAATTAACACGTTCGCTGCTGAGCGTTAGATGCCGGGGTGGCGCCAGGAGCTAAACTAGCGCTCGCCGCTGCGTACCGCTTTTAGGCTACACTGAATTACAGTAAAAACAACAGTAGCTTTACTGGATGGCAATGTTCTGCAACAAAACTGGTTTTGGACATAGTACTAAGTTATTCTGGTAGATAGCAGCACTAAGTACCCAGGTTGCAGTTGAAAGGTAATGTAGTGTCGCTATCTAGTAGGATAGAGGTGGGACAAAGCCCTGTTCAAAACGATCCTGGAAGTGATTTTGGGAAACCATATTTTTCATTGTCAGAAAAGTATATCCCCACAAGCTGCAAAGAAATGCATAGGACGCTCGTGACGAGCTGGCTGATCCATGGAAATGTTAAACAACAATGAACAGTGATTTTGGAACGTTCCTATCTCCTGGTGCCGTGGCCCGGCTGACGTTCCAGAACGTCCGTAGCAGCGAATGTGTTAATTATTATTTCATAAAATAACATTAAAGCAAAATGGGAAATATATGTAATACAGTGAGTTGCTCCAACTGTTTGCAACTATCATCTGGATCTGATTAATTCAGGCCTAGTAGGTTTTAAGAAGAGAAGATTGTGTTTCTTACAAAGGGGTAGTTTAAGTACCGTAGGCCTAGGCCTATTTAATATAAGTTATTATGAAGTAGCCTAAGTTAAGTTTAATTTAATTTTGATTATGTTACAGCTGGTGGTATCGGACTAGGACTTTTGGCTTCAGTTCTCCTATTCAAAGGTAATTCAGAAATAGCCTAATTAAAAATTTTAACCAACAATTCCAATAGACATGAAAAAAACACTTAGGTCTACGGTTGTAACATAAACAAACAACCTTATAAACTATAACCTACACTTTATATTCCTTATCCAACCTAACTTCAAAACCCTTAATGCAGCACGAATCCGCATAAACCCTCACCTGCGTTCCCCACATGCTTTAATAAGATCAGTGTTCAATCTAGGTGTTAAATAACTGTTGGGTATTTTGTAACATTTGTTTTTTGCCTTGGGTACAGTTCCGCAGAGAACCTGGTATTATATTATCAGATTAAATATCAATTATATTGGTTTTTATTTGGTTCGATACGGTACCGGTAACTTACAAGTTATCGTATCCAAAATATTTATATTTCCAATGTTAACATAGAATTGAGCTATAATCTTGTTATATTTGTATTGGTATTTCATAGGCTAATTAAACATCAAATTGAGTACATAATGGCCTGTTAGCAGTTTTATTGATGGTTAATAAAATTAAACTAGGTCTCTCAATATTCAACCCTCTGTTGGTCACACTGTATCATTCAACCCTCTGCTGGTCACACTGTATCATTCAACCCTCTGCTGGTCACACTGTATCATTCAACCCTCTGTTGGTCACACTGTATCATTCAACCCTCTGTTGGTCACTCTGTATCATTCAACCCTCTGCTGGTCATACTGTATCATTCAACCCTCTGTTGGTCACACTGTATCATTCAACCCTCTGTTGGTCACACTGTATCATTCAACCCTCTACTGGTCACACTGTATCATTCAACCCTCTGCTGGTCACACTGTATCATTCAACCCTCTGTTGGTCACACTGTATCATTCAACCCTCTGTTGGTCACACTGTATCATTCAACCCTCTGCTGGTCACACTGTATCATTCAACCCTCTGCTGGTCACACTGTATCATTCAACCCTCTGCTGGTCACACTGTATCATTCAACCCTCTGCTGGTCACACTGTATCATTCAACCCTCTGTTGGTCACACTGTATCATTCAACCCTCTGCTGGTCACACTGTATCATTCAACCCTCTGTTGGTCACACTGTATCATTCAACCCTCTGTTGGTCACACTGTATCATTCAACCCTCTGTTGGTCACACTGTATCATTCAACCCTCTGTTGGTCACACTGTATCATTCAACCCTCTGCTGGTCACACTGTATCATTCAACCCTCTGTTGGTCACACTGTATCATTCAACCCTCTGCTGGTCACACTGTATCATTCAACCCTCTGTTGGTCACACTGTATCATTCAACCCTCTGTTGGTCACACTGTATCATTCAACCCTCTGTTGGTCACACTGTATCATTCAACCCTCTTTTGGTCACACTGTATCATTCAACCCTCTGTTGGTCACACTGTATCATTCAACCCTCTGTTGGTCACACTGTATCATTCAACCCTCTGTTGGTCACACTGTATCATTCAACCCTCTGCTGGTCACGCTGTATCATTCAACCCTCTGCTAGTCACACTGTATCATTCAACCCTCTGCTGGTCACACTGTATCATTCAACCCTCTGCTAGTCACACTGTATCATTCAACCCTCTGTTGGTCACACTGTATTATTCAAGCAACAACCTTTTCGTCCGCCATTTATTTGTTTCCCCACAGATCACTACCACCTCATTAATGGGCAACCCCTTTTTATAGCCCAAACCAGCCAAAGTTCTGAACTTACCTACTTGTCCAGTGCACCTTTTTTGAGTTGTATCAAGTTAGCCTAACTTATATCGAATTGTTAGTTTTTATCATTTTGATTCAATACGACCATGGATGTTATGTTTTAAACAAGTCTAAATAAAGAAAATATTAGCAGCAAAAAAGATAGTGATTGAGCAAATTATAAACAAATAGTCTGCCATTATTACTGAGAGTACCTATTTATTTAACCTTATGATTTAACCTATAGCTAACAATTTTGTTATTTGTGTATGAAAATGATACAGTGCCATAACCATATTGAGGAAATTTACTAAAAAAACATTTTTTATGGTAGCCTAAAGAATTAAATATGGCTAGATCCTTAATTATAATATTCCAAATACAACATATAATTAAAAAATATTGTTGATTTCTAGTTAAACGTTGGCCTATTATCTTTGGGGGAGGCGTTGGACTAGGATTGGCTTACAGAAATTGTGAACAAGAAATCAATGAAACGTTAAGAAAGGTAAGCATTTTAAAATAGGTATATATATTTTTTTTGCTGCAGACAAGCCATATAGGCCTATTGGCTTTTGTGGCTTAGAATTGTATGTGTTTTGTAAATTTTTATTTTTTGGAAATAAAATAAAAAAAAAAAAAAAATAAGGTTAGTTGAAAACTTCCGTACAATAATTGTTAATTAATAAATGGTCCTGGCTGAAGAAATTGATAATCTTAGTACAAAATCACCATTGGTCAATGGTCATCTTACGCAATGTTTCACTCATCTTGCACCCACATTCAGCTTATAATACACTCCTGGTATGAAATGTTGTCAACCCTTTACTCTTTTTTTTGTCCTAGGACGCTAGGCACGAGCCTGGGATTGTTTTCCCATTACTTCAGGCTAGGGGTTGCGGCATTATCACTTAGATAAAATCCATTGTTGACTTGGCGGGAATTGAACCCGGGACCTCAGGGACTGACGTCCCAAGGGTGCTCTAACCACTACGCCAGCTCGCTCCCCAACCCTTTGCTCAGGGCCCACCATTGTCGTACTTTGAGTGCCGAGTGTCTCATTAAGAAATGTACCAAAGATCGTTTGGAAATGTCAGCGTCTTGGAACGTGACAATCGGAAAATGTTGTAAGACAAGGAGATGGCATATCTCCCATACTATTCAACTTAGCACTGGAAGGAAAATCACTTAGTAAACTCAAATACAATATTTTTTAATGCTCTGATCTTTTTGTTTCAGACGTAATGGGAGCAGAAAGTTGATGGATCGGCGATAACATTTTTTGTAAAATATTTAGACCGTTATGTAATAGTAATGTAATATACGCTTAACCGTTTGAAAATAAAGAAAAGATAGAAGTTTACTGTGGATATCAATTGTGTCAAACCTACGCTCCAGAGATGTTGAAATAGCCCATCAGCTGTTCTTGGTAAATAGTGAAATAGTAAATAGTAAATAGTAATGTCTAAATAAATTGGTATTTGTCTGTAAAAAGCACTCTTCGTAAAAAAGCTACCTACACAAAGCATATCACTCCATATTCTAGACTCAGTCACTCGGTTCCTATAATAAAACTGCAATATTTAGTTAGAATGGACAAATTGTAATGGTCCTGACTATATCTGGCAACAATTGTAACGTAGGAACGGTCTATGTTCTATCAAGGTAATAATAACATAGACTGGCAATTTCTATCCCAGTACACACGACATACTTCCTGAAGACGATTTTTGTTTCCATATAAGTCATTTTCATGCTTCTTCACCTGCCTCTGGTGAATAATTTTTTTAATTCACCGCGTTTCAATAAAACCCACCAAAAATATATATTTAAAGTTGTAAAATTCTGAAATTTTTTCTTAAATGCAAAAGAATTGTGTACTTAAAGTGAACTGGTGAAGGTGAATTACGATTTTTATAAATTTATAACTGCTCTAAATAAACATGTAATCACACAAATATTGGATATTTCCATTAATTAATAATTGAGAATAAAATTTAAAAAAAACTAATAAAAAATGAGATACCACGGATTTAGTACCTGAATATCAAATTCCATCAAAATCAGACCACAATAAAATTATGTGGATTGCCACCTTATTTTGTGGCTCTTTACACATCCACACTCTCAAAACAATTTTTCAAAACGTACATTTCATGGGCGTCTATCAAATGGACAAAATCATCATTTTGTACCTACATTTTAAACATTTCCCAAGGGAGGACTTTTCTGAACACCCTGTTTACAGGGTTTCGTTCCGTACCTCTGGCCACGTTTATGGCAAAGATAGACATTAAATATTTTTCCACCCAAAACTCAAACTCAAAATTTTTTACAGAACCAATACTTTTGCCATATTAGATGTTCAAACTAGTTAAGATGGTAACAGCACGACAAAACAGCAAGAGCTGCTTAGAATTAATGGTTATTGCACTTGGAACTGTTTCAAGACCTCAACTGTTCAGAGAGTTGTGTGTTACATGCCAATACCATTTCTCAACTGTAAAAAGCGGTTTAGTACCAAATTAAACCTAAGGCTTGGATATAGATAAAACAGTTGTTTTTAACATGTTTTCTTTCAATATTACCATTGACTATTGATACAACCAGACATTCCATCCCCATTTTAAAGTTGTCTTCAGTCTTAATCAAAATAGTCTTAGTTGATGTCAGCCACTGAGAGATTGTGCTGATCTGAATTACCAATTTCTGTCAAATATATGATTGATTTTAGCAAGTCAAACTGAGCAAGCAACTTATTGTGAGCTATAGCAACTGTTATGACCCATAAACCGCTGTTGTACAATTCATAATGGAGTGTGCAATGTTTATGTTTGCATGTTTGATTATTACCAAGTTAATACTATAGTCCTCGCCACCCTAAGTTGAGGCAGCCAAAGGCCGCACTAGATATGCGCCGTACGGCCTTGGGCTGCCTCAACTTAGGGTGGCAAGGACTATAATAGGCTGGCTAGTGTGCGGCCTTGTGTTAAAGGAAACTATGTCATTTCTTATACTTCGCAACACACTTGACCACACCAACTTTTGTAGTTCTATCCTAAACAGGTAGGGCCTATAGCTTAACAGTGCAACTTATTTAGAAAACTTTAGGGTTCAAAAACTTAATGATGATTTTAGGAGGTTGACGATTTATTTATACCCTTTTTTGGGAATAAAACAACTAGATATTCACACAACTAATTCAAAATTGCATGATTATAATTTAACATTCCAGTGGTGGCGCCTATTTATGTAACGTAAGTAGTCGCATGGGGTCCCCTATTCTTATTTGGCGTTAATAGTCAATGGCGTTATATATTATTATTTATTAAAGTATTTATTACTGCTACAAGAGATGGGAGCGAGCTGGCGTAGTGGTTAGAGCACGGGACTTCAGTCCCTGAGGTCCCGGGTTTGATCCCCGCCAAGTCACCAATGGATTTTATCCACGTGATAATGCCGCAACCCCCAGGTCTAGCCTGAAGTAATGTGGAAAACAATCCCAGGCTCGTGCCTAGCGTCCTAGGAAAAAAAAAAAAAAAAACTACAAGAGAGGACTTAAAGTAATGCTCAAACTAAGTTTTTGAACAAAAAATGTTTTATTATGTACACAATAAATAATGTTCATAAATTAATCAAGTTATCACCATTGTAGAAACCTCTGGTACTTATTTCTTAGCTAGTTTAAACATTGTTCTCAAACAATTTTCTGGTGGTCAGGACACACCCAGAGATCACACTTGTCACAGTTCCAGTTCTTCCTTGTGGTTCTGTAACTCAATCTTGGGCAGATAGCCTGGTCCAGATGGATTTGATTTGATTGATCCTCTACACCATCATTACTAACAACTGATAAAACTTCCACATGATCAACTTCAACTTGGTCTTGGTCCTCGATTCCTAACACAATTCTGTTATCACTTTCGGTTTCTTGTAACCAGCTGCGTACCTGTTCTCTGTAAAGACATGGTAACTAATCAACTTTAACTTAAAACATAGATAACAATTTCTTTACTAAAAAGAAAACAATTTATTGAAAAAGTGTCGCACTAGAATCAATAGTTCAAAATTGTCCGTAGTCCGTAAGTAGTCGCACAGGGGCCAATCAATAGTGACCCAGGCTGCGCCACACTCAAAGAATATGCACTTTGTGAATGCAATAGTGCAAGGGTTGAGGCGGGACTGGTGTAGAGGAGATGAGGGGAAGGTAGATGACACCTCAAGGTCGCCAAAGCCGCCACCCACCACTGGCATTTAAAACATAAGGGATGGGAGACAGTAATCCCCTACGTGATCACTGGAGTGTTAAAAAACGACAGGCAAGGTGACCTAATAAATTAATGTTCTTGAAGAAAACTAGTCTTCCTACAGTCACCCGACAAAGTGGGCTTCCTTGCACTGATTATAGTACAGAAAGCTGCTAATTGCTGCATTTACTTACTTTGTCGCACAGTTTTTACTTTGTCACACACCAGTTTTCCAAACAAAGAACACTTAACAGTGTGCTTTTATTATGCAATAATCCGTGTATACTTGGAAATAGGTTGGTTACACTTAAGACGGTGACACACTATCGATCTTTTCCCCGAACAAGACCCCGAACCGAGTAGGGAGAAGGGAGAAGGGAGGTCGAAGGGAGGATGTTCGATAGTGTGTCACGGGTCCGTACACCGATCAAGACGCCAAACAAGACATCAGGCCGAGCAGGGAGACGAGCGCTCTGGAGGCGGTTTTTTGGCGAAAGATCAAAGAAAAGATCGGTCCGATGTACGATAGTGTGTCACGGTACATTTTTGCCCCGTACATCGTCGCGAGCGCCGCACCGAGCGGCCGCCTGCGCTAGCATTGATAGTTCTGATTTAATATGGCAATTAAACTCTTTAATTGGTAAAATAAATAAATGTTGGGTAATATGTAGCCGTTATATATTATAATCATTTAAGATGTAATGTTTGTGGTTTGTTTGGTCAAGGTTGAAAGTGTAGAAACCGTTAAATCAATTATATCAATAATATTAAGGTTGAATTAAGTAATTGATGTTGACTTAAATTCTTTCAAAAATAATATAAACATTAATATTATTAAAGGCAATTAAAATGATAATTCTGTAACGTTATTTCAATGAATAAAACCAATAGAAATCAATAGATATAACCTCTTCCACGGCACTGCCTCCGCGCTCTCACTCGCACACACTCTCTTATCTCTCTCCAAACTTCCTTTTGCCGCGCTCGGTAGAATTCGTCTGGTCTTGGTCATGTTCGGGGAAATGTTCGGAGTAAAATTTTGCTGATATTTATCTCCCTTCTCCCTTCTCCCTGCTCGGTTCGGGGTCTTGATCGGGGAAAAGATCGATAGTGTGTCACCGCCTATAAAGATACTACGACTACAATCAGCTGTTGCAGTGTTTCCGATTTTGTTCAACATTTGGATTTAACCTAAAGCTTAAAACATGTTAATTGGTATTTGAAAGACTAATTATTTCTATGCTTTTTAATAACTGTAGAAAAAATATAATATTTTACACGAGTGCAAATTGCCTTTGCTGCAATCGAGTAACTTTCCACACTCGCCTACGTGTTGTGTGTAAACATTCCTCGTGTGAAGCAAAGTGCCACTTCGCCCACTAGTTAAGTTACACAAATAACTATTTAATTGTAGAAAGTACTACCATACATATTTTTAGGTTCTTTTTTACCATAAAGAAATTAAAGCGTCTCATTAGTTCAATAAAAAAACATGAAAGAGGTTGCAACAAAAATGTATTATTCTTTGATTTAATCCAGACACTATTTGATAAAACTTGAGCAGTTCATTGTTTGTAGAAACTACTATATACTACACAACAGTAGAAAAAAATGTTAAAATAGTTATCAACAAAAACATTTTATTTTTTGTGACCATATTCAGATGTTATTAAATTTGCTAACTTAAAACTCATATTTTTCCGATGATAATATTTACTGAAATACGAACTGTGAATACTTCTTGCGTCACCTAAGTTTAAAACCCCCTAAAAGAGCATGTAACGAAAACTTGTATCTCCTGTGTCTATTTTGTATTACACAGGTGTTTGTGTATGTATAGTGTAAAATGCTGTCTTTCTGTGCCGGAGTAGACACTTTCTTATCCAGGTAAGCCTGCTACGCTAACAAATATCCTTAACATTTTAATTTAATATTTCAATATTGTACTTGTATTCAGTTATTTGATAGCCTGATTTTGTTTAATTTATGATATTTTTGTGTTTACAAAATCTGTGAGAATTTAATAAAAACTAGACAATACTTATACAAATCTTAATTAACTACAAATCTACTTATACAAAAAGCTTTCCTTAACTGTGACTTAGTTCAGATTTTATTTAACAACAACAAAAAATCTCTAAATTAACTCCATTTAATATTTCTACATTGTTTAAAAACTATTACTTTTACGTATTATTAAAAGGTTAACACAAATTTAAAATCATGTTTATAGGCTTGTGCTAACAAAAATCTCCCATTTCTGATTATATTTTCAGTATTGTATTTGATAACACAGGATCTCTTCAAATTTATATATTTTTATGATTTATAGAAACTGATTAACAGAAACTACCCAATATAGAAAACTAATTCTTGAAATATCTATGAAAAAAATTTAGACAACATTCAGATATTATTTGACAACGCGGAAATAGTTTGATTTCATATTTGTGATAGTTCTATATTTACAGAAACAATGAATGAGTTTAAACAATTATCTCGTATTTTATTGCTATATTTAAACCTTCTCTGTTGAGAAACAGATTGCATAATGGCCATTCACAGTCATTTAATTTCCTCTGTGTCCAGTGGTGTGAACGTACTTTGTTGTTTGTGTTTCTTCATTCACCATGTGATTCCTACAAGTTTTGATCTGTTTGCTATATATTTTAATGTAATCCATCCACATTTACAGCTAAGAGGGTTTCTGGCCATGTTTAATTAAAAATATTAATATTTTCATACAAATGCTTCATTAATGACTCAAGGTCTTGATAGAACAAATCAGTGATAAAGTGGTCAACAATTCTTATCTTTACCCTCTTTTTGAACTAAACGAAATGCTTTTTGACTTCCAACCAACTATTTACCAACTGAACTGTGAGCCTAGACAACGGACTTCATTACAAGAAGTTTCTTAGTTGAAATTAATTAAGTTGTATAACATGCTTTGGTCACTGTTTTTTTTCTGAAGATAAGATAGTCCTCTGACCTCAAAGCCTATATTTCAGTCTTTTTCTCCCTTTTGGGTGCAAAGTGGTGAAGTGGACAGTGACAAATGGTTTTATAGATAGTTTTCATTAATAAAATGGAACGGACAAGTAAGTGAATTTCAGTAATGATGTTTTTAATTTTGACAAATTTATAAAGGTTTTATCATTACTAGTTTTGTTGCAGTTCTTGTGGGTGAAAGTCATAGTGCCAATGTGACTTCTAACCATTCCATATGCCAAGTCAAACTAGTTATAGTATATTCTGTAGGTTTTAAGAATGTTCTTTTAATTTATCAACTTTTTTGTGCTTATTTTCTTTAAATTTTAAGTACCTTCAAATTATGCTTAACTATTCCAATAAAGTTACCATGTTACTATTCGTTATACAAGAAAGAAATTAAATATCATGTTTCAAAGACTGTTTTATTGCTAAACTTTTTGGATTTTGTTTCTGTGTAGAAATTTCTTTTTCAAAATATTTTTCATCTTTTATTTTACCCCCCCCCCCCTCAATTGTTCTTTTTTACAAATAGGCCTCTACAAAATACATTTTTAGATTAAAAATTCACCTTGATGCTTACTGAACTAATTAAGCTACGAATTAATTTCTGCAACAATTATGTACGACTTGACCTTAGAAACGTCAATTATTGTGTTTCGTTGGCAAAGAATTTATAATGACTAAAATTTAAGTTGGTATTACTGTAATAAGAGTTTGCAGGGAGGGAAAAAAGTCTGTAAATAAATGATTTAACATATAGGATATAAAAAGTTGGGATCTTATTAATTTTTCTGCAGAATCCTTATTAAGAGTCAATCCTTGAGATGGACGGCCTCTGGGTTGTACCAATTCGTTAATAAATATTTTAGTTACCATCAGTTGAAGTTTCAAGTTTTGACTTTGACAAACTTTATCTTTCAAAGTATTATGATTACTCAGTCTCCAACTAAACTTTACAAATATACTCTTTCAACATGTTTTCCCTGTTTACAAATTAAAGAAATTTAAACCTCTTAAAAATATGTTTTCTTTTAACTATCAAGTTCTTGTCAGAAAATTAAACAGCACAACAACCTTATTTACAATTAATTTGTGCAGAGCAAAGAGTTCACTTTTGAATTTTCTGATATAATTTTAGGGCATGGCTACCCAAATGTGCGAGTCTTTATTTAATTTCACATCAGGCCTTAAACAGTTCTGTAAAAGAAACTTTGATAATTATCATGTCAAATACAGGATGTATCCACTTGCAACTAGACATAGGACATCCGTATACCAGCAGACAAAGATTGTTGAAATCAATTTAATAATTTATCAATGATATTACACAGAATTAATCAAATAGCGCAAAAGTGATAATGATTTATAGTAAAAAAATATATATTGAATACAACAGCTGCTATATACGTTACATTTTCTATCAGTCAATTGTTGTTCAGTCGTTCAGTCTACTCTAGTAATCTTACAATTTACTCTGTAGAAACATGTACAATACCTTTTAGAGATTAAATATTTTTCTTAAATTTTGTACACATCACAAATTCTTTACCAGGTCCAGAGGAAAGGGATTGTGAAAAACAAATCAGCTGTGGCATATTAGGATTCTACCCTCAATGGCTTCAGTTTTTCGCCAGCAAAAAAACGTACGTGATTCTATTTGGATTGGTGGGTCTAAACCAACTAGCCATCGGCTCATACGCTGTCGCCACAATAACAACTTTGGAGAAGAGGTTTAAAATCCAGAGCCTCACATCCGGTATGTATTTTCTCTTAGTAAGGAACTAACTTCGTTTTGCTTTAATATTTAAGCAGTGTACCTGTTGCTCGAATTCGTGCAATTGTGAAGTATCATAGGCGTTATTTTAATATGAATGACAGTCATTATTTCCGATTACTTTAAAAGAGTCGACTCAAAGATTATGGAAATACTCACGATGTACTTAACAGTTTGATATAATTTACATTTCTTGTAAATATCTTATCATTTTTCAAAAGCTGATCTTGTTTTTTAGCGTTTTCTATAAATGTTTCCCACTCATAGCCGCTCATTAGGTTGTCCAAATAACAATTATAAATTTAAAAAATAACATTATTTATAATGTTTCCATAGTTTGCAAATCAGCTCTTTCAATGATTGTTTATGAAATTCTGCACAGTGTTAATTCAGTTTTCTTTTTAGTATATCAAATTGTCCAGGCTTTCTCGCTTTTTTCCATTTTAATAGTTACGCCATAGATAAAACATACTCCCTTAGTAGATTTCTCATCCTAATGGAACAGCTGAAGACAATTTTATTGTTAGTTCTGTACGGTTTTCTGTAGAGGTCGTGTTTTGTTTACAATTTGTTTCCCGTTATTACAGCCATTTAAAACCTCGTTTAACCAAATAGTACGATCTAATCATAAACAAGAACCTGTCCCCTAGTTATATAACCAAACAGTAAAGCACAAATCAAGAAATTAACCCTAAAATAATAGAATTAAAGTTTCGTCGACACTAGCGCCCATGTGTCACGTACATGAACTAGACACGAAAAACGTGCTTCAAAATTTACAATGGGATGAGAAGTCTACTTGTGTTGGTTAGTCTATGGTTACGCCAACCCAAATTCAAATAGTAAATATTTCATTTCAACCAATTCAGTAAATGTTTGTAGCACATGTTTCTTTCAATTGAAACTAAAATATTAGGCCTCAGCAATTAAACTATCCATCTGATCACAACATAAACAATTGTTCTTTATAAGGATAACACAGGATTTTTCAAAGCCACTGAGGGCAGAGCCCAAGGGACTTTTTCAAAAATGTGAGGTCAGTTTGCTAATCTACACACCTAGACGAACATTTTGGTATACAATATGTGGGGTTAAATCTTGAAACAAAAAGCCTTATTGTTTACAAAGTTTCATGTAGCATATTAATAATATAGATAGATACTACAGTATTTATTTTAACAACTTAATTTTAGATAGAACCATTGACTTTATAGAACCTTCTGTATCCAATAATCAATGATAGAACATAGTGAACCTGACACAAAATCATTTAATTGAGCTGATCTAAGTATTACTACAGAGAAGTAAGTTCCAGAAGAAACTTAACTTAGCTTACTTATGGGACGACCGTGAGCTGGTATATTGGGCCAGAAATATACTTGTTGTGACGAACAAGGAAGAGCCCGAGCGGTGAGCACTGTGCGGAAATTGCTATCGCACAGAGCACAGGTCTTCCTCCACTGTGAGCATTGTGGTAAATTAGGGCATAGTTTTGTATTTTTCCGTAGACACCAGCGACAAGTGTTAGACACCACTCAGGTGTAACATTGAGTGTTTCTTCTGTACCTTACTTCTCTGTGATGTTGTTTACTTTTTGTAAATGTAATATTTTTATGTTTAAGGTAGAACAGTTTGCTAGTTTTTACTTTCTAATATCAACTTCTTACTCAGAAGCACAATTTAACCAAGTCAGACTACAATCTTGGACTAAGATTGATAATGAATTCAGTTGTGAAGTAAAGTATTTTACAATTTTAAAACTAGCATCTAGCAAGGTTATTGTTTCTTTCTTGTTTGGTTTTGTTGTATTGACTATTTATTTATCTAATCTAAGTAGGTCAAGTTCATTCCCAAAACCGTGAAGTTGCTAGTCTAAAAAATCTTAGAGAATAATTTTGGAACTACTTGCTGTATTACACCAAGCTAATATTAATCATGCTGTCTAACAATAATTCAACATGCGTTGTGACAAGAACAACTTCGTTACATGCATGGATTGAGAGGGTGTTTAAAATCATACTTTTTTACTTTTTACCTGTGTGGCAGCTAGGTCACAAATGTGGCAGTTCAAACTCCAAAAACAATGATTAGTTTATCATCACCCAAGGGTTACTGGTACGGGTAGTTTAAGAACATTTTGCAAACCAAAATTTCTTCAATTCATGTCACTGTCCCGAAGGACACTGATGGATGCCCTGACAGTCAATTTTCTATGCCATCATCAATGGTTACTACAACAAAACTGAGCTTGACGAGGAGGCGAAGATCAGCTAGAACTAAAATAGTGGTTTGGTGGTAAAAAGTAGAAGCGAGCTGGTCTAGTGGTAGGGTGCAGGACTTCGGTCCCCAAAGTACTAGTGTAGATCTGAACATGCTTTCTCCATTGTTGTGTGAGCTCAATGAAGACCTTACTCCATGGATAACCCTCGCATAACTATTTTACATTACATTCCAGGAATAATAGCAGGAGGATGGGACATTGGAACTATTTTCTCCTCAATCACAATGGCGTACATCGGCAGCAAGGGACACAAGACGAGATGGGTCGCATTTGGAACCCTCCTGACGAGTTTAGCCTGCTACTCTCAACTACTCCCTTATATTTTATACGGACCGGGACATGATGCGATAGCTTTGGCCAACACACCCAACACAACGCAATATTCGAGTGAGTAAAACTTTTGGTCCGTTAAAAAATGTTAAAACTTAAAGTAATGTTTACATATAATTATTTTTTATCTTGAGTAATGGTTTTACTTTTGAAACTGAACAATTGCTTTCATAGCAAATTCTTCCTCCAACAGAAATCCTATCGTTCTTTTTATCACATACGATTGTGGAATTGTGGCAGTGGAGAAAATCCAAAAATTTATAAATTTCATCCATATTTGTGATAAATTAAATTCTTTCACCCAAACTTTTACTTTGATGATTCATGTTCGATTCCCAGTCCGTTCTATAATTTAACTTCATCCTTGGTATATTATATATAGGTGAGGCATCATAGTTGTGCGGCCCAGGTAGTTGTTCGATCAGGGCTTTAACAACAGAGATATGTTAAATGCTCCATCCATCTTGCTGATAAAATAGTTTTTTTAGCCAAACTTTGACTTTGATGACCTACATTAACTACTAATCTGTTCTGTAATGATACCTTTGCCCTTTGAATATTTTAGATTTGGGTCCTCGTAGTGGTGTGAGCCGCCAGTTTTGCTCGCTCAAGACTTAGAGAACGAAAATGTCTTCAACACTCCACCCATTTTACTGATAAAATAATTCTGATAATTCAAATCCTACGTTAATAGCAAATATTAAATTTCTAGTTGGTTCTTTAATTATTGTAGGTGGAGCGTCGGCGTGGTCTGATCCGGCAGCTTTGCTCACTCGTTCTATATTGATTGCTCATTGCAGGTGGAGCGTCTTCGTGGTGTGGGCCGGGAGCATTGCTCGCCCAGGACTGTGATGATGGAGATGTCTCCGACACTCCGCCTGTTTTACTCTTCATGTCGCAGTTCTTCCTGGGCGTAGGAACTTCCATGTACTGGACACTAGGGATCGCTTACCTAGACGACAACGTTAGGAAAGATCAAGCACCTCTTCTTCTAGGTTGGTTAACCTTTCATATTTATTTACAACTCTTGTGTCTGTAAGGGGCAATCTATAAAGCTAAAATGGTGTGTTATAAACATAGATTTAAAAGATCAACCAATGAAATTCGCTCTGTTGAAATATGAAATTTTGTTCATAGCTGGGTCATTGTGTCATTTAAATGATTTAAATAAACTTTATTTTTATCACTTTTTGACAAATGAATATCTAGTAAAATTAACCCATTGGGGAAGGAATTAATGTGCTGCCTGCAGCACCCTCTGTTGGCAATTAATTCTACCAAATTTGTAGACTTTTACTCTAATTGTTATAAAAAGAAAACCTTAGGTAATAAATTAATAATTCTTTCGCCATTTTGTTCACAGTAAAATTGTCTACAGAAAAAGTGATAATTGGATGATTAGAGTGTAGAATTAAAAAAAAAACTTCTCCATAAATCTGGAGTCCTAACCCATCCATACGTTTAGACTGTTTGTTCCAGCTGTACATTAATTACTGTTTACTTCAATCTTTGTAAGCTCCTATTTTTTACAGCCATTTCCTCAACGATACGCTTGCTCGGCTCACCTCTTGGTTTCTGGGTGGCCGCAAGATCTCTTGAACTCTACGTCAACCCATCTCTGTCACCTTCGATAACCAACAAAGACGCTCGATGGATTGGCGCATGGTGGATCGGTATGTCTCTTCTCTTCTACTTTCAGAGTTTTTTTTTTAAATAGCATGGATGTGATCACTTTTAGCATATGTTTTGGGAACTGTTAAATATGTACAGTACACTCCCGATAAACTGAGGTTGTTGGGACTGAGACTGACTACCTTCTCGGATAAATTAATCCAGCCCTCCACGTTATATTGAATGTTATAAAAAATAAGTCCAAAATTAAGTTAGTGCTTGATCACAGAAAAACAAGTAGTCTAATTTAGACATAAAAATTAAAATTGATACAGTTTTTGTACACTGAAGCCTTAAAACAAAAAAGTAAAATGGTCCTGGGTCCATAGACCTTGTCATGCGATCATAGTAATAGATTCTTCCCTATAGAGGACATTTTCTTATAATCAGTAATATAATTAAATCAATGAAAAATTTTTGGGGCCCAAGAATATAATAATTGTGATAAAAACACAAAAATAAATATAACAAAAATCAAATACTGAAGAGAACAAGTGCTTATAGTTCTACGTTATAGTACTAGAAGGCAGAAAGTCTAACAATGATTCAAGAAGAAATTAAATTACCATACAGTAAAATCTTATTGTTCCATACTATTTGGGACTAGACAGTTTGGTTAAGAAACTACAGTGAAATTGTACATAGGAAATTGCAGTGTCTGGATTTATTTCAGGTTGGATTCCTTTCGGGGTGATTGCAACTTTCTACTCATTTTTCCTCACACTCTTTCCTCGGGTATTACCAAGGGCGTTCCACCGCATGAAAGTTAAAACCAAAGAAGTTCTACAAGAAACAGGACAGAAAACAGCCAGAGTTAAGTATTTAGACTTTATCTGATAAGCAAAGATTGTTTTACCATAGATTTATTGCTACACTTTTGTATGGTTTTATCAACCTTTTGGGTCAGCTGAAGATAATTTTATGAATGCACTGGTGTGCATTGATTCCTTCAATTTATTTCTTGTCATTACCAGTATTTAAAACTAGCTTTTAAAACTAGTACCAAATATAAATCACTGGTCTGGTTCTTGTATCTACCTTGTACATTTTACCATAGCAGTGGAGAATAACATTTGGGTAACATCAGGGCATTCAAATGTAACTGGAGATGGACCACACATCCAGAAAGGATGCAGGTTGTACAATAGGATGACTAGTTTACTCGCAGTATTATAATTCAATGTTTATGCTTACATTAACAAATAGTTCCTAGCCTACTGCCTAAATATATCAAGAACCAGAGATCAAGCGCCGATTGTGCTAAAATATAAATATTACTCCCTTCGTGTTGAAAATTAAAATATTTTTTCAATGAATAATATTTTTGCTGAACAAAACTCGGCCATTAGGTAATTCTAATACCAAATCCAATAGTATGACACAAAATGACAGATTGTCATATTAAATTACATTTCAGGATTCCTAGAGATGCTGCAACGGCTTTTCAACAATCGTTTGCTTCTTTGCAACACATTCAGCTATGTATTTTACATGTTTGGTGTCATCGGCTATTGGATCTTCATGCCAAAGTATATGGAAACACAGTTTCACCTGACGGCTTCCGATGCTAACCTAATTACAGGTAACCTCCAAATATTTTAATTCCAATAGAGTGTCTTTTTTTGACGATTCATTGGGCTCTTTAAATGTAGTCCTTGCTTAAGGAACGGCCAGCAAAATATTCTAAAAATTAATCATAAATTTAATAACCTCAATTATAGTCCTTTCACAAAATGAAGGTGAAAGGATTCCTGGATTCTCCAACCACTTTTTTAAGCTTAATGTATTAATCAGCCGATCAGCTGTCGCCTGTCGTCTCAAAGTCAGAGTAAGGTGGAGGGGATGGAGCCTAACTCTTCTTTGAACGGAATATAATCCTAATCCAAGTTTCCATCTTTCAGGAACAATGGGACTTATAAGCTCAGCGTGTGGAGTCATTCTGTCGGGATTTGTCCTTTCCAAAATCAAACCTTCAGCCAGGAAGATAGCGGGATGGAACTTCTTAGTGGAAGCTCTCGGAGTGTTGTGTGTTCTCACTTACACTCATCTGGGGTGTTCCAACAGTGAGATACACGGGAACAGGAATCCTGATGGCAGGTTAGTTATTGAGCTTTGTGGGACCATACTGTGAATCATGATCATATTATGAATGAAAACTAAAGGTACAGTACAATTTGGCTAATCTATCAACAATGAGACCAGGAGCATAATCGGAAGAAAAAAGATTATGCCTATTAAATAACCTTCATATAACACTTCAGAAATGCTTTAAGTTAAGCACAACAATGGCACAACTTAACCTTATCCATCAATATGTTTTGGCACATAACACATCACAGAGCAAGCTAAAATTAATGACACAAAAACATTTTCAATATAGAAAAGGCTACTGCAAATATAACAAAACTTAAATACTAAAATTTTTATAAATACAAATTTACATAAAAAAATTACACTTTTTGGTAAATCGTTAAACATTAGATAGAAAAAAACATAACATTACACAACACATTATTTGATATTATGTTTATTAGGTAACGATCTTTTGCTTAGTAGGCAACAACCGCCACTCACAAAATGTCCATTGGTGTGGACGTTGAGCTGTGCACTATATCTAATGATTTTTTCCATACATTGGTAGCCCTTGATACCGACTCACAAGTCACGAGTCCAAAGTTTACTATCGCCAAAAATACATTAACACTAATATCGAAACCCTACCCAGGCTGACGCTACCCGAAACCCCGGTCTTTGAGACCCCATTTGAAAATAATGGACCCTGCTTAGAAACACACAAACCGAACCCCTGGGCCTGTGAGACCCCGCTTTAAAATACACTAACGCTGGGCTTCTGAGACGGGCATGTTATGAACAGACAAGCTGTCAAGGTCACGGCACCCACGCAAAATGAACAAACAATATATCAACAGGTAGGGGAGGAAAAGGGGGAAAGGTATTGGGGGAATGGAATCCCCAAGTAAACAGTGTTGTACCAACATGCGTTTGTGAAAATTCCCCTGGATCTGTCAGACCGGGGTTTCAGTATAAGTGTTAACAAGCTATCCGCCAGTACAGACATAAAAAGGTGCCACAACCTCTACTTATTGTAAACAAAATTCAACCCTGTAGTCGGAGGAGGAGTTGGTATCTCCGAGGTTGTACTGTACCAAACATCAAAATTATGTTGACAAATCATCAACATTATTTTAAAAGAATCCCGCTGACAGTGTTCCTAAACTCTCACAAAGTTCTTTTCTAAGGATATATTTGATTTGCTTCAACAACTGATACTTTTCAGTTGGAACCTGATAGCAGAATGCAACAGTCAGTGCAACTGTGGTCCTACTGTGCCTTACGAGCCGGTTTGTGACCCGACGAGATCTCTCACCTTCTACTCGCCATGCCATGCTGGGTGTACGGACGTCACTTACAATGACCTAGGCAACAAGGTAGGACTGAAAAACAACTATCGTAACTATTCATACCCCTGCTCCAGCAAACCTGCAGACTAAGCGAATTTCTATTTGCCAAAATCGTTTTTCACTAAAATATATCCTCAAACATTGAAACATGTCAGATTTATTTCCTATTAAACTAAATTAGTTTTAACAAGTACCATGGTTTGCTGCTATAGGAAAGGAAGTTAAGTGTGATTTTAGTGAAATTTTTATAGTTTAGTACAAAATAGAATCTTTTAATTTGAAAAACAGTTGACCTAACATAAGAATTTTATATTTGCAGTTTTTTTTTTTAATTTCTCAGCAACCATTAAGTGCACACAACTATGCTTTTCAGCGTAATTTAAGTGATTTCTTTAAAAAAATTGTTGCTCTACAAAACGGTTTACTATTGTCTAAAATTTAATCTTTTAGGGTAAAAAATATACTAAAAAAACAATTTTTGCTCCATATAATACCGTTCTTATATTCTTTTCATGTTGGTTTGCGAACTGGTTCAATTACGTAGATTTACACATTTAAACCAAATTTTAATCAATATCAGATAGTTATTACTAGAGTTATCTTGTGCTTACTCACAAATTGCAGTTGTATCTGAGGAAGAGAACTTTTTCTGTATCGTGGAACTTTTCTAAAAGCCATTCAATAAAGCTGTCTACGATGCTATCATGTGAATCAATACAACACTGTCTGGATTGTCTGACTGTTGTGTCTAATATTTTTCTTGTGTCCAGATATTCACAAACTGTAGTTGTATCCCAGACACACTCGTTGCCTTGGACTCATTCTGCCCTGTCGACTGCAGAACTAACCTCACTCTGTTCCTCGTACTTTACTCAGTCATGAGTTTCTTATCTTCCACAGCGCACTCTGGGCTCGTCATCATTCAGTTCAGGTCAGTATACCCTAGAAAATTACAAAATTATTAATAACTAAACAATTGTCTTTCACAAACGTTAATTTTTGTCTATATACTAGTAATATCTTTGATTTAAAGAAACTTTTAATTTAGTTAGGGAGGATTTCTTAGTACTTTTTAAACCATAAAAGTATTGATACAGTATCATGTTTTAGAGTATAGACCCAAGTTTAAATGTTATTGCTGTGGTATTTCCTTTTTGTGATGTGCTTTTTTGTTCCTTGACCTTTTTGTTATACTGGTAATATTTTACTTTACTGTCAGATGTTATATATAATTTTACCTAACCGCCATGTCAAACTTCCCTATCCCAAGTGTGATGTACCGGTATACAACTTCTTTCTTCACGAGTGATTTAAAGTTGAACAAAACTCACTCGGTGAGGTAATGAAACCCATTTAGATAACATTGAGTGGTTAACTTAAAAATGATACCTCTATGGAGCCAACGACGTTCAACGCTAGAAATCAGCTGTGTGCTTGAATCTTATTGTTATGCTTTGAAGAATTTTCCTATCCTAGCTTTTGTTTGTAAATGAACGTTACTGCTAGAAGATGAGTGAAATGGATAATGAAAAATATTGTTTGTAACCTCCTGTATATTGTCGGATCAGGTAAAATCTTGTACGCTACACGTTACACAAGAGCTTGTTTACATCACTTAGGAGAATTATGCAACTTGCTTCCGCTCTTTGCACAACATTCACCTGCGTGATGTAAAAACGCTCTTACTACACTTGTAATGTAAATAGCTAGTACACCTGCGGTGTTATACTGTTAATATTTGGCTCCTGCCTATGCCTTCTTTTTTAACTGTAGTTTAAAAATTGTTATTGACTGACTCACTTACATATCTAAAACTTGTTGTATTTAATCATTTTGTAATTAATATTTGGACCTATGATTATTGTCATTTGTTGATGTCAACTATACAAGATTTTCCTTGTTTTGTTAAAATAGTCTAGGCTCTTGGTTCTTGTATTTTTTTTAAGATACAATGGTATTGCTACAACCATTGACTATTGAATACTGAAGTAGATATCCCATCTATATGGGCCATCAATTTTTATATTAAATAAGAACATAATTGTGTGAGCCAGTCACAGAATGTGCTAGTGCCTAAAATTCTATTATCTACCTTATTTTTTGTTGCTAACATTGTTGATGGTCCATACAATTGCTGTAGCTCAACGGTTTGACTGGGTAAAAATGATTTACCATAAATTAGTACAGCACAATCTGTCAGTAGCTCACTTCAATGTTTATTTTTAATAAAACTGTTGACAAATTTAACATGGGAATAGAATGTTTAGTTTTACCTGTATCGAAGGTTTTATCTTGGGAAAAATTGAGCACCCGTAATTATTCCAGAGCAGTTGACCCTGAAGACAAATCAGTGTCCATCGCATTGTCTGAGATGCTTTGTAGCGCCTTGGCCTACATCCCAGGTCCCATCGTCTACGGAAACCTTCTCGGTAAATACTCTTAATACCTAAATATGGGTTCATTTACAATTTACATTACAATTTTTGATCTTGATATGCAAGTCAAATGTATATAGAACACACCATCAAATCTGTAGCTGGTTCAAACTTAAGCCATGTCAATTCTAGACTCATTGGGCTTTAGAATAATGCTATCTGTCAAAAAGTTGACATTGGTAATAAGACTACGTTTATATAGGATGGAGAGGACACAGCTAACTCACCTGATGAAAGGTTGCAGACGAGTCAAAGAACACATAAAACACACACATAATAATACTTGATATTTCGCCTCTTTCAGAAGTACCCTACTTCTGAAGAAGCCTCTGAAAGAGGCAAAATATCAAGTATTATTATGTGTGTGTTTTATGTGTTCTTTGACTCATCTGCAACCTTTCATCAGGTGAGTTAGCTGTGTCCTCTCCATCCTATATATTTATTTAATCCAAGCTAAATGCTTTTTCCTAAAAACAAAAACCACAAATAATGCTGGTGCACCACACAAGAAAAAAAATGTATACAAATTTTTTACAATACTTACTTCTATATTCTTACTTTTACAGTAGTGAGATTTTGATAAAATTATAATTTGTCAATTTCGTTGTGAAATGGAAAAAACTCAACATCCCTTAAATTTGTTGTAAGTTTACAACTACCTAACTTTTTTTAGTTTTAAAATTTTGAATAGCCGCTACAGTTTATCATATTTTTGAGTGATTGCATTATCACACAGTGCAAGTACAAAATGTGTGTTTTAGTGAAATCATCTTCTTCAATTTTTTTTTTTTTTTTACTTTACAGACAAAGCCTGCTTGGTGTGGGGAGACTCTTGTGGTGAACAAGGCAATTGTTGGTTGTACTTTGGCCAGACTCTACGCTATTACCTTAACTACACAGCAGCAGGTAAGGGCCTATCGTATTGCTCTAGATTAAACATACTATTGATTTATTATTTTTATGTATCAGCTTTGATAATCATGCTGGTCTGGCAGGGGCGGCTCCAGCATGGATTCTCGCAGGGGGCCATTGCTTGGAAACTTGGGTTGTAGCTGGTTATAGGCTGTTTACCTCCTAAACACCGGGAGGTTGGGGGGGGTATGCAATACCCCCCGGGTAAAAGGGGGGTCCGGGGGCCCTCCCCGTGGAACTTTTGAAAATTAGACCTACAAAATCGTGTTTTTAGGCTATTTATAGAGGCATAACAAAAATGTTTAATTGTAGAAACAAATTTTCAATCATAAAAAATCTCCAGCTGTCGAGAAGATATAATCATCTTTCCCCGCGATTGAAGACAAATCCTAAACATCTCCCGCAATCAAGGGAACATCACCATCGCCAGGAGCGATCGTGGCGTTTATTGTACAGTATCCGGTCCTAATCCACAGCATAGTCGTAAATCCAACACTGTCTACTACCATTTATAGTTTAAGTTTAGTAACATTTAATATTGATTGAAGGTTTACATTTCAGGCTTCGAGTTTTTAATTGTAATATAAAGTCAATAGTAAATTAACTTTAATCTTTGCGCCATACATTTGTAATAAGAGGCCTTATCAAAATCATAAAACTTTCTTCTACATGGCCCCTGTGGTCTAGTGGGTAACTGTAGAACTTTTGAACCCACGGTTCTGAGTTCAAATCCCATCAATCACCAATGGTTTTAAGTTATGTGATAACGCTGCGACTCCCTAGGACTAGCCTGAAGCACTAAGTAAAACGGTCCTGGGCTAGAACTTAGCGTCCTATATAAAGGTTGCACTATCAGCTAAAGACAATATCATTGGCTATATTGGATACTGAAGTAGACATCCCATATATATCTCCCGGACCAGCTGTTGCCATTTTTAAGGAACAGTTATGTGAGAACACACCTACAGGCTATAGATTTTGCAATAGGATAAGTCTAGTGAAATTATATTAAAATCCCATTTTATTTGAGCTAGTTTGTTATAAAAGTACAAATTCTACATCAGAACAATGACCACTTAAGGGTGTGTTAGGAGTGACGGTAGGCTACCGTACCTTACTCTTCAGAAAATTTTTTCCCCCCTTTATTTATCTATATAATTAATACGCTACATGAAACTTTGTCGGTCGAACTCCTCCGCCATTTCTTAACCGATTTTATCCGTTGATGTCTCATTGGAAAGAGCGTGTCGCGTAGATTTGCAAACTGGTCTTACTTTTTTGAAAAAGTCCCTTGGGCTTTGCCCCAGTGGCTGTTAAAGTTCCCATGTTATCCTTATGAAGAACATAATTGTTTACATTTTGATCAGCTGTATAATTTAATTGCTATTATTTATTTTTCAATCCTATGAAACGCATTGAGCACATTTATTTACTATTTGAGTTTGTGTAAACATAACCCCCAAGACGGATCGTGTTAGTATGGTTGTATCTTAAACTTGAGTATTTATCGTTGTTTTGTGTCGCTATGACTGATCGTGTTAGCATGATTGTTACTTAAATGTGTGCATTTATCGTTGTTTTGTGTAGCTATAATTTGTTTATTTGCTGTTTTTTTTTTTTTTTAATGCCTTCGACGCGACGACAACGAAACATAGACAGGAGGCGCAATCGTGATAACGACCGCAGCTACAGAACGGTGGCGCGTAATAGGCTTAAAGTCAGCACCTGACCCTGGACAATCTCAACTATTAGGTTAAAAATGCGCCGGCCCTAATACTACCCTAAAACGACTTTTCGTTCTCAATTGGCCCTCTGTCAATGACCTGTGTTGCCTCTACAGCGAGGCATTTTGAGAAGGAGAAAACCGGCCGGAATGCTTTAGGTTTATCAATAACGAAGATAAACATAGTTTGAGTTACACACCGGTGATCTTTGAGTTGACTCTTTTAAACTCATTGTAAATATGACTGTTATTCTTTTTGAAATAACTCCTGTAATGCTTTAGAATTGCTCGAATTCGAGCAACATGTACACTAGTTCCAAATTAAACTCTTCTCAATAGTTTATTATCAATGAGAAGAATGCTTTTGTTCATAAATTGTTAGTGTAGCAAAATTGTTTTATGGGTAATCAAAATAAATAACTGTTTGTTTTGATAAAACTGTTCAAATCCTTGACTCAATTCCAGGATTCCTCTCCCTGGCGGTTTTATTCGACTGTGGAATTTGGTATTACTCGAAAAATCTGGCCCTGTACGAAGAAGATGAAGGGAAGGCTGCTAACAACAACAGTACAGCAAATATAGACGGGAAGGAAGTAAACTCGTGCGAAGGTGATGTAATTGCCTTACAAACTCCGTCAACGTAGAGAAAGTTATAACCTAGTTGAATTAGTAATTTATGAGCTTTACAATTTTAATTTATACAAAATACATTTTTGACATTGAGATTTTTAAATATGAGTCATTATTTACCCTTCTCTAAAACCGAACTATTCTATTAGCTATCAGGTTTCATAAAATGTACTTCGTACTGTTGAAAGAAATCAAGCCACACATGTCAAATTTTAAATTAGGGTTTTCAGGATTTAATTTAATTATATTTTTAAAGTCAAATGAAATTTAGCTTCTTGTAAGGAAGTACACCAAACAATGGTCTTGTTTTTAACCCCAACCTTTTATTTATTTGACCGTTTCTTGAAAACAGAGAAAATTTTAATCATGGCTACATATTATGTAAATTTGAACAATTTAAATTATTTATGTTAAATATTAGATAACTCTATTTAAGTTATATTTTCTGATTTAATAGGACTCTGTTTTCAGTACATAAGCAAATGGGTAATTGAGCTAAATTTTAATGCAGGATTTAAACTCAAAACAAAATTTAATTATAGAGTTTCGAAGATTAATTCACCAACACAAAGATGTCTTTTTTGTGAAAGTGGAAAATAGATTAGTTCAAGAAGTAGATTTTTAAGCTTAAAATTTTATATGAGTTGAAATTCCAACAAGTAGGTACTAGATACAAATATTGAACAAGAAAAAAAAATTAAAATTCTAACATGACTAATTTTCATGCTCAAATAAGGCAAATTTGTAAATACAATTTTTTGTACTAAATTCAACTAATTTAAATTCACATAGCTATAGCTCTTCAGGAAACACAATAACACAATTGCTGTAAAAACTATTCCATACAAATTATTCTAAGAAAACAATAAAAACGTATCTGTTACAAAGTAAAAAAGTATAGTTGCATAAAAATATTGTTATTATTCGTACAATAGCTGAACAATTTGACAATCTAGCATCTATGCACTGTACCTGTGCTATGGATTATCTGTGGATAGATAACAGTTATCCAAGATGGGTTGGGTCCTTATCAACTCTTATCACAGTCCTGATTCTCACCTTTATGATAAAGAGTGAAATCTGCTGCCACACTGTTTGCAACTGTTTTGACGATGCTGTAAAATATGATTTTTGCAATGTTGGTATCAAATTGAATGCAGATGTGGATCTGAGCGAGTTTATTACTGCATTGTCTTAGGTTGTAAAACCTAATGTGGATTTCTTTTGTGTGAGTATTTATTACTTTATCTACTTATAACGTATTGTAGTTGTTATGTGTTCAGTTATAACTAGATACTTCTAATAATTGATAGTGAGGGTAGAAATTGGTATTGAGCTGTTTGAAATACACAATTAGTAATTTTGTAATAGCCAATATGGGTTAGTGCTGTATTTTAAATGATTGATAATTCATGCAATAAATGTGAAAATGTTGCGTAACGGATATTTATTTATTTCTCCAAAGAAATCAAAAACAGAAATACGATTCTGAGATTATTTACGTTTATGATGGTAGAAACCTATGACAATAGGTCTGGTAGACATGGAATATATGTAAAAAACTGTAGTTTCAAGTTTGTGACCGTTTTTAAATGTTTGAACAGCTTCGGAATCTGATTATGTAATTTATTTTGTTATTGCATACATAAAACACATCCACAAAACATACATTGACTTTCAGACTTTCTTGAGCCTTTTTATAGACTATAGAGAATGGAGACGCAAGATGCCCGAGCATATTTTAATACAGTGGAACTCCAAACATCAAGAGACATGATCAATTGGGAACGAAATATATCCAGATAATCAAAACTACAGATAATTGGAATTTTCAAGAAAAATTATAAGGCAGATTATTCATTGCCCGTCGATTCATACGACAATTTAATAGACTCAAGGCACGAAGGACATATTTGGCCCACGTCAGTGTTTATCGGATTACCACAAACAGCAAAAAAACTATTTATTTGGTAAAATCAATTGATTTTCTTCTTTTTGGGGTAATCTGAATAATTAGCAATCTGGATAATTGGAGTTCTACTGTAGTTTTAGAGGCAATAAAAATTGAATAGAATCCAATGAATCAAAGTTTTCCTTATATCTGAAAAAATATATATTTATTGTTTAAATAAGTCTAACAGCCTTGCATTAATGCTAGATCTGTCCATAGTGTCGTACTGTTGAAGCAAAATCCATCCTATTGTATTAAATTTATTTAAAAAATAAGTTACCCTGAGCTACATAAGTCCATAACTTAAGGTCTTTATCAAGCTCCTGTGGCGAGCAAGCTTAAATCTGAGATAGTAACTTTTATGTTCTTTACTTCATCCACCAGTGACAGACGGTCCAAGAAGGGGGGGGGGGGGTCACAAGGGCTAAAGCTCCCCCCCCCCATTGTATCCTGATAAATAATACTAACATACATTTTGTCCTAAAAACGTAACCCTTAAAACAGACGGTTATATAGTTTTTTTACCAAACTAAATTAACAATGTCAGGATAGCCATATCCAGATTGATAAACCTTATGAAGTAAATAATAGAACAACGAATAAAACGTATTACGATGTGCAAATCAGTATGCATCATCCTCTTTTTCCGCCAGTCAGCTGTTGACATGCTTGGTGCCGAGCGTGACATCAAGGGGGGGAAATACGGTAGCTGATTTCATGTTCTTACTTGTCAACTTTTTACCTTACACAACAGCTCAATTAGTTGTAATATGTTTAACAGTCGTGTCGGCATCACAATGCCATCTTTAGACACTTTAAAGACTCAGCTGAAGCAGTGCCATCAAAGTCAAAACACATTACACAAACCACATTTAACAAAAAACAAAAATTACTTCCAACACAAGTTACCAGCTATACAGCGATTTGAACAAGATGGTTAGAATAGCAATGGATGAAGTAAATAGCACGACTTTGGTCTCTTATTTAAACAGTTTGCATGACCGTGATGGATACCTTAATTTACAGACAGCCCTTGCAATGTACGTTACTATTCTATTTAAAAACAAAAACCATACAGGAACAAATTAAAGCATAGATTGTTGACAGTTTGGCTTAAGCCCATGCAGCATGTATTACATGGTGAGGCAGTAAGAGCACCCCTATTTTCTTTCGTTGTCACATTATAAGTAAAGCAACAATGAATGAACATTTGTGCTTATAACATCAATCAAACTATGCCATTTTAGTAATAATTGTGCCTGAGGCTTGTAACACTGAGATTTTGCTGTAGGAACCTATTTTTAAAATATTGATTCTTGTGCAAACACATTCTGTAGTTGGTCAATATGGCGCTGTTCCAGGTTGGAAAACTATAGGGAACTGGGTAACATTATTAAGGATAACAGATTAAACCATTAAAATAATCTGTGGGTGCCGCTAAACTCTTTGTAAACCAGCAAATGTTGAAAGAGTGTGAGTCCAGTAACTCAAATTCCAAGGAGGTTGGCCAGAATGCTTTTGTTGTTTGAAGCTTTACGTTGGATTCTTTGTTTTCTTTTTTTTTTTTTGGGGGGGGGGGGGTTCCCCTTATAAGCTACTTAAAATTTAAGGTTTTTCAAAGTTGCCCTAAAGATTTTCTTGAATTTCCAAGAAACTAAAGTGATTCCTGAAGAAATGTTAGAAGGAGTATTCAATGGCATTTTTAAGTGACTGAAAAGGAGTATCAAGTAGGACAAGGACATCACAAAAAATTATTTTGTTTTCAAGAAATGGAACAATTACTTTTACGCAACACTACACTATTTTAACAAACTTCCCACACAAGGATTTAGTCCAGAAAACAGCTGTTTGCCACCAGCTTAATCAAATGGGGTTTCATTGCGTACTACTGTACTGTAATGAGTTTTACTGGACAACAATCAGCTGATTATACTGTATTTGGGTGACAATAGGCAATGAGTAGTTATAAACAAAAAAGAGGTTATGACAAGTGATTTTTAGTCCTTTAGTTTGTGGTAATATATAACGATTTGTACAGATTTAGTAGTATGGCGTTAACTATCGTACGTCACTCGTCCAAAATGTGTTTACCGGACTCGTTTGGTAATCCTGTACTCGACTTCGTCTCGCACGGGAACAACCACACTCGTCCAGCAAACACTTATTTTCAGGACTAGTAACGTAATATACTATTAAAAGTTAAAATGGCAAAAGATAAGCTGTGTTTTGATGTAGGGGTACTATTAATATTTATAGGGTAAATAGTATTGGATTTGTACTATTTATAAATAGGGGTGCTTTCATTGCCTCACCCTGTATATTCCTCACTTTTTGAGTACCGTACAGTAGTATCTATACGATTATCTTTGTAGGGTAATGCTGAAAAGGAAGAAAACAGTTTTAGAATGTTATGGGAGACGGCAGTGATTCTTGGTATTTTACACATAGCAAGAAGCGACTGTCCTTCAGGCTGTTATTGCATGGAACAAACTATTGATTGTTCTTCTAGAAAGTTGACATATTTTCCTCATGACCTCTCTTTCCAGGTAGGTGTTTTGATCAGTTTCATTTTATTTATTTACAAAAATTATAAGACATGTAAACAATCATTGAAAGTTTAATAGTCAAGAAACATTTAAACCTTCTATGTGTCTTAAATCATTGAATTTGGATCCAATGGTAGACATCCAATCTAAATGTATTGACTCAAAACAGTTTTTTACTCAACGGGGAGAGTTTAGAGAACTCTCTGTATATTACTGTCTCCTTTGAGCTCCTGGCATTAAGCGAGCTAGTCTAAATCTAAAAACAACGCTTTTCTTTTCACACTACCCCTAATGTGACAATTAGTCATGTCATAGTATTCTTAAACTGTAAGGAAAACTTGTTCCTCCTGCTAAGTAAGAATCACGTTTTCGGAGAGTAAATAAAAGAAACGTCTTACAACAATTAAAACATATATTTACGCTTATACTGTTACTCACAAGACGGTAAATATACATAAAAGATGGTAAGTGGTGATCGATTTAGATTGGACACTCCAATCATCAGACCCAATGAATACATTCCTGCTCATGGTTAAGATGTCCACCATCTTTTATGAATATTTACCGTCTTGTGAGTAACAGTATAAGCGTAAATATATGTTTTAAGTGTTACAAGACGTTTCTTTTATTTACTTTCTGTAAATTTAATAACAGGTACAATGCCCTTGTAAAACCCTTTCTGAACGGGACAAAAACCGCCTAATGGGCAGTGTACTTGACTTCTTCACTCGTTATGACGAGAATGGCGATACTTGTTTATCGCAGATAGTCACGGGAGACAAAACTTGCTTATGATACCCCTGAAACCAAGCGTCAATCAATGGAATGGAGGCACACTACGTCCCCAGCAAAAATCAAACAAAAGCCAATCTTGACACCTCAAAAGGTCATGTGCATAGTTTTCTGGGACAGAATCTTTTGTTGCGAGGCCAAACAATCAATAATGATTATTCGAGACAATCAGGAAACTGCGCATGCTCTTTAAAATTAATGTAACTTTCATCAAATGTGGTTAATTCTCAAACTACAAACGTGCCGAGGAATGCTCACTAAAGGAGTGATTTTCATTGACCACACACCGCAAATGTGACAAACACACTTCTTCAAGACTTTGGCTGGGACGTTTTTGACCATACTCCGTATAGCCCTGACCTCGCTCCAAGCAATTTTCATTTGTTTTGCAATATTAAGTCTTTTCTAGGCGGTCAGCGTTTAATCTGTGATGAAGAGCTGAAAGAACGTGTTACCTCATGGTTAAATACACAGTAGGCAACATTCCACGAGGAGAGTAAACTCAAACTTGTACCACGCTATGACAAATGCCTTGAAAATTGCGGGAACTATGTTAAAAAATAGTATAAGAATTTTTTTTAAATGAATTTCATTCCTGTATCTGTACTCGTTATTCTTTTATTTCAAAACGGAACTTACCTCGTAAAAGGCATAAATAAATTAAATATCCATGGGACTCATTGGGTTAATAAAAATTCTAAGTTTTCTTATTAAAAAAATAAAAATGTAAATAAATTACTTTTCTAAAAGCCCTTCAAGCAATAAAAAGCATTATCCAAAACCACACTAAGTTTTTGTAAACCTATGTTGATCTAGAGTTGAACTTAAATCAAAAGCAGCATTGACTACAAAAACTAACATACCATAATTATGGTTCTTAGTCAGTTCTATGGCAGCTTAGACACATTTTAAAGTGTCCAAGGGTATCAACAATAGACCTCTAGGTTTGGTTAGAAAATTGTGTTTAAACCAAATTTGAGATGTTTCTTCAACTCTTGATTAAAATAAAATGAAAAGAGGTGTTTCCCTAGAATTATACAGTGTTTATAAAAGAATACCGGCATTTTAAACGGTCGTTGCTCGGGGACTATTCAAGATAATTAAACGATTTAAGCGTCAAATTGAATGGAAAAGAACAAAGTTTTTTTCTTCATACTTTGATACAATTTGGAACAACTTAATTTAATAAAATTTTGATTTTCATCAATGTTATATGGGCTTATTACGAGCAAAGTCTGTACACTTAGGGCGATCGGTACTTTTATCTGATTCCATAACTGAATCTTTTTGAGAACAAAGATTCTATCATTTACAGATAACGTCATAAGTGTCGGTTTAGGAATGTTCGACTGAAGGCTTCATCGGGCAATCGATTCTTTCAAGCTTCTGAAGCAGAATAATTGTCGGATTTCTTTGACTGTGTCATCGCTTGTTTTAGCCGGCCGGTGAATGTCTTTTCAAAACCCCATGGAGCCACAAAACTTTTTAATCCAACGTCAAATTTCTTTATCATCAAGTAGATTTTAATTTATTGTAATTTAGCAATTGATATAAACTCTGCAAACCACAGATTAAATTCTGTGCCTTCTGTTGCGCTGTAAACATTGTACTGGTGACTGGCGTCAGGCGTGTGAGTCACAATAGCGACCTACCACCACACACCTGTTTTGCGCATGCCAAGGTCAAAGGTTCCTCCCTTGCTACAAGAGAAACAAAACTTAGTTATTTTAGCTTCAATTTGACGTATAAAACGTACCTTGAATATTAATCAAGCCATTACCATTTAAAATCGTGGCATTCTTTTATAAAAACCCTGTATTTATACTCATGAAATAGAGCTTTTTTTGAGATGTAAGAGGTGTTAACTTATTAGATAAGTCATGGTCAATGAATCAGTTTTATGAACTGATAAAGAATAGTTTAGATAACTTTTTGAAGTGTGATAAAAGATGTTACATTATAAATATGGAAAGAACAAACTGATTCTCTAAATGAGGGAGATTTATAAATAATTTAATGTTTAGTAAAATAAAATAAATATATATTGTTTCCTTTATTTTGTGTCAATCGACACAATTGACATACTTTAGTGCTATCCACCTTTTTTAATTGTCCCTTAATTACCCTGGTCTAGACACTGTATCTAATGACAAATAGTCTGGGTCTAGGTTTTATTTTAGTTTTGTATCCAAACGATTGGAAAAATATAAAAATTACATTAATCTGTTAATTACATTAATCGTTATCAAGATAATTTTTTTTGCAGATATTTCAAGATACGACTGACACCCTGAACGGATTGAATAGAAAATACATAACTAGTCTGAACTTGGCAAACAACCAAATATCCGGATGGCAAGGAAAGATTTTGGCTGACATTCTCCCCAACTTGGTCAGTTTGGATCTATCCAACAACAAAATAGCACAAGTCGCGAGTGCACAAAGTATTCTTCTAAACATCAAGCTTCTTAATCTGAAACTATCCAACAACCCAATTCAAAATTTGGGATCTGACATTGACACTGTTCTATACAGCCAATCTATCTCTCATCTTGATGTTTCTTCCTGTAACATAAAATCAGTCACGAATTACGAGTCGATAATGTTTATGACCAACTTGACACATTTGAGCTTAGCAGGTAATCCAATTTTTGTAATCGACAATCTTCATTCAAACACGCTGGCTTATTTGGATTTGTCAAACTGTCTTTTGGGCATCAGTGGCAAAAGCTTTAGAGAGGACGCTTTCACAAATTTGCCGAAGCTGAACTACCTCAATATTTCCCTGAATGGCCATCTGACAAAGTTGTCGTCGTTTGAACCGCTGTCTATATCTATCAAGTACCTCGAGGCATCTAATTGTGCTTTTGAAAGTCCCGATGTAAAAATGTTTCCGAACTTACAATGGGTTGAGATGAGGAGGAATGTCATAAAAACATTACACAATGAAATTTTGTCACAAAACAGTATTCTCGAGACCCTTGACGTATCAGAAAATTTAATAAGCCATATTGAGGAGAGAGCTTTCATAGGAGCTAAATCACTGAGAAAGCTGGATATTTCTCAAAACTTTATAAGAGGTTTGAACTGGAATGTTTTCTTTGAAACTCCCAAACTAGAGGTACTCAATATCTCAAGAAATTTACTCAAATCTCTGGATGACATTCCTATCCCGTCATTACTACTTTTAGATGCCAGTAGATGTGAAATCGTCGGATTAAACTCAAACATACTTCGTAGAACAAAGAATTTAAGATATTTAAACTTGTCAAACAACTTTGTTGAAAGTATACCTCCGAAACTATCGTCGTCAAAGTTGCTAAGTATAGATTTGAGTTATTGTCGACTGACTGAAGTCAAACACGAATCTTTTCAAGAACTACCATCGCTTCGGAGACTGAACTTGATGGGGAACAGACTGACCAATCCATTAAATCATAGTTTACTACAGGAAGTTCGTGAATTAAATTTACAAGATAATCCGTGGCACTGCGATTGTACCGATCCAGACTTCGGCAAGGCGTGGCATCATCTCTACTTGTACCCAAATAAAGGTAGCACATTGAGAAATTTGAAATGCCATTCACCAAAGGAACACTCAGGGATGTCATGGGAGAACAGTTGCTTTCGAGTTTTAGGAGAAGGTAAAAAGTACAAGACTGCAGCTTGGTATTCTTTTCTTGTTCCTTTTCTCACAGTTTGCTGCATGATAGCTATTTTCATGGTAGTTCGCCAGGCCTATGTCTCACATGGATTGGAGGTGGAGCAAAGAGAGTCTAGTCAAAGAACAAGCCGCAGATCTGAGACCAGAGCAACTCGGGTTGGGCCACATTTCTTCGATGACGATTTAGAGAGAGGGATTCAAATGTCGGTGAATGAATCGACTCAAAGATCACCCATTCATGACTTGTCAAAGCTTCCTAGCTATGAAGAGGCTTTACTGATGCCGAAACTCCTAAGCCAAGACGATCTAAAGGATATAATACGAAACTATGAAGAGAGAGATAGATTTGAAGAATCTACATTGAACGATGCTCAAGAAAGAGGTTCCGGAATTAATGAACAGTTAGATCATCAACACTATCCATCTACTTCCAGGAATTCTGTGGTGAATGAAACTAGGAATAATCTTCGGACTGATGAGTGAAAAGTACCAAACTATCATGTTTTCACAATTAAATGTCAAAAACATAAATATTTTTCTTGAATGTATATATTTAATTGAATGTAATATTTTCTATTTTATTTTTTATTATTGTGTGTGTCTATTGATTTGAATGTTTGCTAATATTAGCTTGTAAATAAAACATTTTTTTTTTACCGATTGTTACTTCATACCATCCTAAATCTACACAACATTTTGTCATTGTCATACAAAGAGAAATTTCAAATTTATTATATCGTTAAAAGGCTTATTAGTTTTAAAGGTGTACCAACAAAAATCATCTTGTCCAATAATTGTCTAATACACAATGTAACTTAAAGTTTCAGTTAGAGCTGGGTTAATTTGAATTTAACTCACTATTTAAAAATTGGCTTTCACAGTCAGTCATACAGACAGCCTCATCACTGATTTGTTCACCGTGTTTCAGATCGGATTATTAGAATTTATTTTATCTTCCTATGAGAGCAATGAATTAGTAATTACAAACAAGCATAATATATATATATATATACAGCTTTTTGATACTACTCTCCTTAGTCGAAGGTACCACATATACATTAAAGACAATAACAAATCACAAAAAGTGTTTGAAAGAATAACCGACAGTAAAATACAATATTTACATTTATTTAGGTTGCGTCTAGGAAAAAAGCATTTTAGAAATTTTTGGACAAAATTTAAATATAGAAATTCAAAGTTACACTCAAACATACTGTAATGTCAAACTTTTACTGCTGTATATGTCTTGAAATACAAATTTAAATGGAATACAAGGAAATATAATTAGTTAGAAAAATCATTTCAAATGAAAATGTTTATTCAGATACATTTAAGAGTTACATTGCCACTTCAAGAGTTAAATAATTATTTATAATGCTACATATAGAATCAAAATATTATACCAAAACATTCAACTTCCATTTGAGATAAAAGATCGCTAAGTAATATTTGCTATTGCATATGTTATAAAACTGAAACAGAAGTTTGATACCTTTTAAAAGTTAACCCCACAAATAACTACATCCACAACGACAGATCTAATGCAACACTTAGTTAATGATTCACAATAACAAAATTTTAAAATTTCAGATTAGTGGAAGATCTGGTTACCCAAAACTACGTAATTACCTACATCACAATGCATAAGGGGCCCGAATTCCCTGAGTATATTAAAAGCTTAATAACTTCAAATTCCGAACAAATTGCAAAATATGACTAAATAATTCAAAGATAAACTAATATGGCAGATACCAGTAAACTCCGATTTCTTATAATTGATTTAATAGAGCAATTAGGAATGCAACCAGCAGAATTGTCCAATTAGAAACATTTAAAACATATATTATTTACATTTAAATTTATGAAGGATTTAAATTTAAACTGCTTAATACAAACCAAAAACTATGTTGAAGAACAGTAACATATGGTATAGTGTTAGTTTTGATGTTACATTCCTAAAAAGGTTTTTCAGTTCTTGAAGCGAAACAACTTATGGCTCCACCTTCAGTAGTTCGACATCGAATATCAGCGTAGCATTTGGAGGGATAGTAAGCAGCTGTCAAGGAAAACTATGTGAAAAGCATGTTTCAAACCTAGAAATCAGTGTGTCATCTACCTTTAAAAACTTCAGTACAAGAAGGACTATGCTACAGACGGTCCTGGTTTTAGCAATTTTACAAGCCAATAAATTTAGTGCATTTGTAATGCTGTTTTGTTTTGACTGTGTACTTAGGGTTGCCATAAGGTAATGTGTAAAAAAGAGGAGATTTTAGCTGGCGGCTCCCACTATAATAGTGGATAAAAATTAAAGCGATGAAATTGCATACCTAGTACGCCTACATATGCAAACATAGATAGGATAACAGAAACTGTATGGGTCATAAACTTAAACATAAAAAAAGACGTCACAGGCCCGATAATAAACATGTTTTTATTACCTATTATTTAAATGGAACTGTCAAAAAAACATTCAAACAAGTTGTTACCGCTATTAGCTTGTAAACATTCGGGCCAGTGACGTCGTAATTGGTTTATATTTATTAAGTCCATACCGTTTCTGTTCAATATTCGTGCTACATTATCAGTATTCAAATGGTACGTGAAAACATAAAATGTTGCATCGCTTGTCACATCTCATTAAAAATCACAAATAACCAAATAAAGTCAATAAGTTCTTTCTGTCTGCTACTGCTACTGAACACGGATACCTTTGGACTGGCCGGCAGACGCCAATTGAAGGACTGGGAGCAATGAAACAGACGATAAACGATTAAGACAAACTAAGGACATTGCTGGCCAAAGTGAAACCAAGGAATAAAAAACTTTAGTTTGAGAGTTGCATTTCGCAGTTATTGTATAATGATATTTGCGAACGCAAACATTTATTTTGTCCTAAAAGTGCCGTTATATAATGTATTTTAATAGAGGGTAAAAAAGAGGAGATTTCTCACTTTTTGCAGAAATCCCCCGGAGCTAAATTTTGACCATCAAAATCCCGTAATATCCGGGGAAATGGCAACCCTAAGTGTACTTCACTTATAGTAACAAATGTGATTCTTGAGTGTGGCAAATTGTGTGAAAATGGATAAAAAATTATTTAGTCTTCGCAATCAGGGGTAGTGTTCTGATTGCAAATACGGTTATGATAAATTCATGATTTTTCATTAAGTAACAAATAATGCTGGTAAATGCTTATTTGGTGGGGACTGTAAAATTTATTCTTCACCGACAACTCTCATATATTCTACCAGTTTACGTAAAGTGTTTTGTTTCCTACTATTTGTTTGTTTTTATTTAACTTAGTTTAAAACATTGAACCAAATAAAATGCAGGTAAGTAGGATTTAAATCCTAAAAACCCCTCAAACTAAAATCAGTACCATTCAATCTTAAATTTATGTGTTCATCTCTTGATCGTGACCAATTTAAAGTGCAAACGCAAGCTCAGTAGGAATTCATATTTAACAAAATCCATTTCAATCAAAGTTTGTTTCTTATCGAAGTTTAAAACTTGAATCCATATTGAATACACACCACAAATCAAACAATGGTAGGGTCTGTACCTGTGACTAATGTGATGACATTTTTAATTTTACAAAACAAATTATATATTTTTGACAATTTCTTTATTGTAAAAGTTAAAACTAGAAAGAGTCATTGCAACCCTGGTCATACGACAAAATCAATTGATCAATATTTTAGTTCCCCTATGGCTAAGTATGCAGTTGCTGGATTGAATGGACCTAAAAAAATAGTATTCTTAAGTCTTTGATTGGAGGATGAGGTTTAGTCAAGTTCTACAGTAGTTTTACACATTTATGATTATTCTGAAGATACCACCGTTTGAGGTATAGACCTACATAAAGTAAAGCTCTAAAATGTTAGCAGTGACTTACCAATAACTATGTTCTATGAAATATCACATATTAAACCTATGTTTATTTAACCAATGTTTGAACCTTCTGAATAACTTCTGGTTAAAAGTAAAAACATTCCAAACATTTTACAGAAGATAACTCAAAAGCGAGGTAGTGTAAAAGGATATATTCCAGGATGTCCACACGATCCGTAAGCGTAGTCTGGGGAACAGGTCAACTTGGCTCTTTGTCCAACACTCATCTGAAATTTAAAAAAATTAAAAAATGGTTAAACATAATCACATGAAATTTATCTTGGATAGGCCTACAACTTTGACAGGTTAAGTTAGAATAGGGCAGCAACAAACACTACAGTTGTCTCTCGATAATCGGACACTTTGTAAAACGAGATACTTGGTAGTTTACTAACCGGTTTATTTTTAGTGAAAAATAATCAAAATCGTGCCAACAGACACTGTACATATAGGCTATCTATGAATGTAAACGGATGGTGTGTTTGCCCAGATAGGAATATCAATAAGTAAATCAGTCCAGGATTTAGCTAGATCTTACCATGAGATCTACGGTAATAGCTTGCGTAAGTTATTTCCTATTTATGGAAAATTAGCTAGGCCCAATATTTCCTGATATTAAAAATTGGCTAAGAATTAATCTTGATCGACACTTTTACAGCCTCTTGATTGTCGGATTAGCGAGAGAAGGCTGCAATTTAAAACTCTACATAGTCTAGAAGTTGGTGGTTGCAATGCAGGAATAAAAACAACAAGTCTTATGTAAACATATGACTCTTTACTAAATAGCCTACGCTACTGCATAGCTATTTAAATTACCATACAGCTTTCTTAATCAAAGGTTAATTTATCATTAGGGAAGGTATCAGTGACACAGCAAAATATTGCCTCAGTGCAAGTATTTGAGAAAAAAAAGTTGACTCGGATCATAATACTCAATTAAAAAAAAAAGATTTTAGGTTATAAAAGTTAACCTTGAACCAAACACGAAGGTAAGGTAAGGGAAGGGAAGGGGGGGGGAAGGGAAGGTGTAAGGTGTTTGGTTAAGCACCTTGAAGTCAATATCCCTTTTAGATTACTTATTTTTTAACAGGTTTTCAACACGAGTTTCAAGATTACATCATTAAGCAATGACACTCATAATAGACAGTAAACACCTTCAAATTCATACAGGCAAAACAAAGCCTGAATATTTCACATAAGTAGCCTATTTTAGCACGTAAGCCAAACAGTTTAAGAAATAATTGTAAATACAAACCTGAGCGACGCCTTGGTCCCACCCTTTAATAACTTCTCCTTTTCCAATGCGGAACTTGAATGGTGAACCTCGATCCCTGGAGGAATCGAATTTAACGCCATTTTCAAGTGTACCTGTGGAATTAACAGTACTGATTCAATTCACATTATATTGAAACACTTTAAAGAACACATTTTAAACGTGTAACAATGTAAAACAATTAGCTCATTGAATTGTAAAAACCTTTCACAAATTGCTCGGTGTCCTGGCAATTTTGGTCATTTGTAAAGTTGTTTTTGACAATTCGCACGGCCTAAACCACTGTTGATAACCTAGTCATATTTATACTGGTTTTGTTCAGAAAAAGAAGGAAATTCATAATACGG